AGGCTCTCTCCCTAGGGCTCCAGTCGTGCCTGCGAAGGTGGGCCCTGGGGTGGGATTGGAGGGTTCAAAGAGCAACACAGCAGGTATTTGGAGTACCTAGGGCCCCTAGAGTCTCTCTCACTCTCTCTCTCTCTCTCTCTCGCTCCCCTCCCTCACTTTCGTTCTAGATTTGGAAAGCTTTGAATGTGCAAAGGTGGGCACGCTACCATCATTTGCTTCCTTCAATATAAAAGCAAGATCTCCGTGAACGTTTCGTCAAATTTCACATGTATGTGAAGTTCCATCAATCCATGCCGCGATTGGATTTGTGTCACTTGATGGTTGTATTCGGTTGTTCTATATTATCCAGGTCTCTGGAGATCTTGTGTCTGATTTTATTCCGACTCCTTCAGTTTCCATGGACAACACGGGTTAAACTTTGTCTGCCTGTTCTTGTGAAAGATGGGGTGCCACCACTCCCCAAAAAAGGTTTTTCAGGTTATCCACGTACTTCCTGGGTATGTATTGAATCAAGCACAGTGAGCATGTCGCCACACACGACTCTCCAAGGAAGGAGTCGTCCCGAAGGTGAAGGAACAAAATACACAGGCAAGCACCAGTGGTCTGAGTCTGAGCACACGTCGCAGAACCTCAAAGAACTCGATAGACTGATAGACATCTGATAGACTCTTCCGCCTTAGACCTCACCTATAGTGCCCCAGTCGTGCACGTGCCCACGTCATCCGCCACTTCACCAGTCTCTGCTCTGCCCGGCTCGGTCCCTCTTGGTGGTGAGAGCTCCCAGCTCGGCCAACGTGCGCACCTCGATAATGCCATGGGGCTGCAAGGTCGGTCCGCATCCCCGGGTCCCGCGGTCTCCCCCCCTCCGCGCGAGGCCGGTCGTCCGCGTGGCTCTGGATGGTTTGGACGAGAGAGTGCCCATGACCATCCGCCCATGGTGCTTAGACTTCGGCAGTTGATCCATGCTTATCCCCTTTAAAGCAACCCACCCATGAATCCAAAAGAACTGAACTGGTCCACCCATCATAGGTTCCGGTGCCACTTCTATCTTTGAGGGCGCAGGTCCAGATTCCCCGAACGCGCGCTGAACGCGGACCTGAGCCCTTTACTATGTTTAGACGACAGTTTTCCTCTTTGGCTTGTTGTCTTCCACCAACTCCCACGGCGCACCGTGCACTCTCCTGCAAGCCCAGCGACCGCATCTTCCAAGCGTTCCATCGGGGGCGGTTGCACCTTAGGGAAAGCATCACGGATAAAACAAGTACGTCAAATATCTCAAAACACCCAAAACGTGCTGTTTTTAAACCCCACCGGCTACGTGCAGCAATGCATCGGCGAACGAATTCGAAACCGCGCCCCGGCGAAGGAAGCGCCCGCAGTGGGGTCACAGCGCTTCATGTTTCCGGTCTAGAACGACCTCTGAGGATCTAGAAGCCGAAGCACCCTCCGAAAAAACCGGTCAGAAAGAGGTCAAGCCCTGGAAACCACTGAGCACTTCCCACAGTGAGCTGCAGCAGGCGTCGCCTCGATGGGGAGAGGCACAACGGCCGATGTACTGAATGGGTGACTGCATAGCGGTCCAATAGAAATGGTTGTTCCAATACATTTGTAGTGGGGATCTGTTGGGCGGTCTATATTTCTTAAGAAACCCCCCGTCCTCAGCTTCGCAAAGACCACGTTGGATGTGCTTCAGTCCTGTCCGCCGGTCCCCTTCAGTCCCTCCCTGCGCTCCCCTGCGGGGGAAGAGCACCGATCCGCGGAAGGCGTTCCCGCAGGCGCTGGGAGAGTTGCTTCACCTCGGGGGGCGTCGCGCGGATGGACGCGGATGCAGGATGCATGAAGAACGATGACATGAGTGCAACGAGTTCTGAGCGAACTTCTGATCATATAAGGGAGCATCAAGAAATAGGCACATAGGCAATCATAGGCACGGCTTGGGCAATGATCGGTGTGGTCTGTTCTCGCACCCTGCTGGGTGCGCCATGGCCGGTTCTTTTCGGCACTGCGCGAAGCGGCGCGTATCGGGTCAAAGAAGTACTGCATCATGGCCCGAAAGACCTCTTTGAGCTGCTCTCACTCGGTGTTCGCGGGCCTGGGCGCTGAAACCCAAAGCATCCATGGGACTGGGCTAGTTACGTACATCTGGGGTCATACATGGGGGTAAAGGTAACTATTGCATACATGGATGGTCCGGGAAATGAGGTGAGATGGTATACCATGCTATACCTATTGTATGCAGCCTATAAATCATATATGGTAGCTGCTAGAGTAGCCATATAGGCAAAGTCAACAAGAGTATACCTCTGAATACGAAAGCAGGCTAGCCAGGCTCACATAAGCATAGAAGATCATAGAAGCAAGCAGGGGGATCAAGCTGTCACTGGAAAAATCTAGTCATGTGACATGAACTGGAAGGTCTGTGACATGAACTGTCTAGGTTTTGGGGTCATGGGGTCATGTCTCATGGTCCCCAGAGGACGGTCCATTCGATTTCGTGCATGGAACTGGGAGGAAACGACCAGTCTACCCTTCACTGGTGCTGTCGCTCCATTCACAGACCAACCCCACAGACCAAACCTTGGTGCTGTCGCCACATGGAAATGGGCACATGCATCGAGCAGGTGAGGTTCCCAAAGCCCGTTTGAGGGCCCGAAGTCTTAAGGGTTTTAAAAATCACCACAACCAATGGATACAATATGATACAATGAGGGTGCCCAAAACTGCTTGCAACGAGGATTTCACGTCTTTTCCTAACAAAGACCTCCATCTTGTGACGAAGACGCCACACGACAAACACACGACGCCCTCGCGAAACTGCCTCCTGGAACTGCCTCCTTGGTCTGACAGAAAGCTGGCCCAAGAGGTTTGAAGCATTGGAGAACATCCCATGTTGATTGCTACGTTATCTTTGTTATATATAAATTAATTGTTATTAATTATTATTAAGCTGATTGGTTGAGTCAGTTTGGCATCCTTTTTGTGTAGCATCCCGCTGTTATGTGACTCATCATGAACCCCACCAGGAGCAATGCTTCCACTGGAACAAAAACTGAGGAAAACAGGCTTCGAATGCCCGTGTGATCACCTGGTCGAATACGCGCTGTCTTCGACGACTTCCGTGTTGGGGTCCAGTTGCGTACCCCATCTGGGAAGCAATAATCATGGAATGAACGAGCACCAAAACGTATGTATACTTACAAGGAAGCCAGCGTTTGCCGCCCCAAACTGGCCACAAACAATTGATTACGTAATAACTATATACTGTATAATATAAATTTAACATTGATTGAAACACTCACTTGGCAGAAGCTCACAAGCAGTTCAGGAGCGATGATAGCCGAAACCGAGTCTTAGCTGCGCGTGTTTGAGCACACCTAGAAAGCGCAAACGTAACCACATGCTCAATTATTTCGATCTGTTTGTCTGTTTGTTCTTCCTGCAAGAACCTTGTTTCTCATCTCATCCCAAGGGCAGACGCGAGCTCAGTCTGTCGGCAAGCTATTCTGGCATGAGAAGCTTTAACAGTTTAGGGGTGAGTATTGCTAAAACCGGATCAGGGAAAACAACAAGTATTCTTCCTGAACTGCAGTTGCTGAGTGAAAGGTGTCCGAGTTTTTAAAATGCTCCTGAAATGCATGTTGACCTGGGCCCATCTGCATTGCTCCAAGTTTCAGTATAGCTCCTGGGCCTGTCGTCTCCACTTCCACTCTCTGCGTCATCCTGCGTCCACCACCTGGAAGTCACAGGCATCTGAAGGCAAAGGCTGGCTATGCCAGTGCCACAAACGCTTTCGCACGGCACTGTTGATCCGACGGCAGTGCCAGTCCAACCCATCATCGGAGTGAGATGTTCACACAAGGAACCACTCCCGGGAGAGAAGGGGTCTGTCTGCTTTTCTTCCTGTAGGTCATGTACCAATATATCAAACCGTTGCCACCCCAAAAGGTAAGTTGGCAAAGCTTCCACCTGTGTCAACCACCAGTGCCGGTGAGCGCCAGAAAAACCGCCCCACAACGCTGGAAATCCAATGACTTTCCATCGAGGTCTGAACAGCGAGGTCGGAAAACGTCTGAACATTGCATCCCAAACACTCCATATCTATCTACATTCATAAATGGAGTGCCTGGGTGTATCTCTCTCCCTCTCTCTCTCCCCATCGCCCTCTCGATGAGATTCGCCAGAGGCAAGCTGGCGAGCCTCAAGGCCTTGTATTGGACCAAGTCATTATTTCATCCTTTTTGATCCTTTTTGTTCTCCTATTGTGGGCCTCTGAACCGGGCCTGTAAGGGTGGCTCCAGGCGAGCTCTGCATTTGTATGAATGGAGTGGGAAACCATGAGCCAACTGACTAGGCGACTTTGGGGATGACTTAGGTCGTTGAGAGTCCACATTGAAAAATATCATCAACGGCTTCACCATTTTATCGATATTGAATGGATGATCATCTCTATGATTCTATGATTATCATACGAGAAATACGGTTCATCCTTGAAAGGTTTGAAAGCTGCTCAATCTGTTGTCATGACCAAATTCAAGGACTGACCTGGATCCAATTAAATACCTGATGCACAACTTGTTTCATACCCAACATTGGACACTTGGACGACAATTTCCATATGGATTCTACTCTATATGACATGACAATACATGACATATATACTGGTTCCAATGACTAGAAGTCATCAAAGCCTGAAACTCTCGACCTCGCGGTCTTTCTCCACTGCAACAGTCTTTGGCTCGGCTGCTTGGCAGTCGGACGGGTCGAAAAAAGGGTGACCCAGAACATGACCCGAACGACGTCGGGCTGTGCTGAGGATACGATGTGAAAGGACCAAAAACCAACGACCTATACTGGATGTTCAGGCTACGACCTATATGAATGCTTTGATCATCTGAAGGTGATGCAGGCTGAGACTATCAAGAAAAACACGTTTGTCCGAACTCACTGGACCATCCTTCTCTTCAGTAGCTTCACCCCGGTCTGCGCGCGGATGCGTCAGCTCAGCTGGTGCGCTCGATGTCCGAGTAGTGCAGGATCGTGAGCTCCAAGGGCCTGAGACGCAGATCAGAACGAGCTGGACGCCTGACCCCAGGATTCAAACAACCATTGTTTCCCATGGACTCCATGGGACTGCCATAGGACTGCCGATCAGGCCTGGGGTGGTGCCAGGGGGGTCAATGGGGCGGCAGTCCTATGGCAGTCCCATGGAGTCTATGGGTTTTCATGGTCTGAATCCCAGGAACCATTGTTTTACGGATTTTTACACTACACCACCAGCTCAACCGTTCTTTTAATGGTCGAACTGAAGGCTAGGGAATATATATTTGGACGCCTGACGAAGGTCCACATCTTCTCAAACTCCAGGCTTCGAGCTGAGACAACTGCCCCCATGTGTGGAACAGAGTGGAAATGGAACTCATCTTTCCTCCAGCCCCATCCGGAAGAAAAGAACAAACATACTTCCCATTAGCCCAAAACGAGGCGCGTCCCCATCCGCATCTTCAGCTCATCCACCATCTTTCGCCCTGGCATCCTTGGATTCATTTGCTTTATATGGAACCCGGGGAAAAATAGACATATTCCACAGGTTTGGGGATGTTTAACCCGGGGCAAATAACCAAAATCCCCCTGATCCATTGTTCAACCGCCCAGGCATCTGTTGCCCGTCCAGTGCGATGATCCGATCGCCGGCCATCACACGCTCCGACAGCTCATGGGACGCGTTCCATTCTTCGATGAGACCCGAAGGCAGCACCGCGTCGATGATGATACCGGCGGACTTCACCGTGTACTTCCTGGGTTTCTGAAACCCTTCCCCCTTCCCTTCCCGAGTCTGGAACAGACAGCGGAAGAACACCGGTGTCTCATGAAGAAGAAGGGCTAGGAGAAGGAGGCCTGGACTTCATCGTAGTACTAACTCGCTTGACTCGTGTGGCCTAGGGCTCCCATCTCCACCTAAGAACTACTGAGAATCCAACAGAGGTTGAATGACCCGAACTAGACTATCCCATAGGTACCCCATTTGACGGGTCCTAGTTCAGGTCACTTAACCTCTCTTGGAATCCAAACATCACGTGTTTCACTTTCTTTGGCGCTCTGAGTGGGTGCTCTTCTTCAGGTTGAGATCCACACAAACATGTGCAAAGCGAAGCGCGATAAACACCGACATGGGCTTAGAAGACATACTTTGAACCTTGATATCACAATCTTTCAATCAGTAGTACAATTATTGTAACATATTAGGTCTATGTTAAATATATAACTAAATATTATATATAGTCCATGACAGTGACTATCAGTCACTATTGTAGATGGCAGGAGTCCATCGTAGAGAATATGTGCCACAGCGGTCAACGGCCAGCCTCTGCATTACTGTAGATGTCTGTAGTATGTCTTGGCCCGTGATGAACAAGGGCGATCAATCAACTGGATTCCTGGATACAGAATTCTATCCTTTATATACCAGCACCACGGAAACGGTGCTTTATGGACACCCCTGACTATATATGTATGCCCCATCCATGGTGCTGGTATCAATGATCTGAGTTCCAGGACCTTCCAGGACAATGTGTCTGTAAATAGCCTCTGCTGAGGTGATTCGGGGTGTCCAAAAACCACCGGACTTGGAAGGTGCTGGTTCAGCTCTTTGACCGATCAGTTGGCCAAACTGCCATCTGATTCATCCGCCAAAGGCCTGCAGGCTTCGTTTGGGGTGACCCGGCAAAGCTCGCATTGGACCACTTGCTTAATATCCCCAACACACCGTGTATGATATATATGTATATATAGTATCATAAACACTATATTGTTATCATGTAATATGTTTGTAACTATTGTTTTATTGTTTGTTTACATCAACATATCATATATGATATTATGATATGTATGCTCCTGAAACCACCCCAATGTAGGTAACCATGCAGTCTTGGTATGGAAGCTACTAGCGAAACGCCAGGACATACATTGACTAGACTAACTACACCCGCCGTTCCAAGCACCGGCACATCCCTCATGTTAAAAAGACCGCCAACTTGCAACGAGATTGCAAGAGTGGAAATTCCAGCCATGACTCAAACCCAGGCGTACTTACACTCAAAACCGCAAAACAACAAAAACTCACCAGCAGTTCCAAAAGTAGGTTACTTAATGGAGGACAGGATATCAACTTACTTCATCAGGGTCTAAAACCCACCCCTTGGAACTCCTGGTGCGAGAATTTTCTTGGTTTGGCATGTGATTTGACTGAGAGATCTCCAGATAAGCTTCATCTGCAAGCCAAGTGAACCGTCCTTGGTGAGGCCTCAGCTGAGACAAGCCAGAGGTCTCTCTGTCTTGGACAGCTTCTTTTTCCGGCGCTATCTGGAACTCTGACCGCAACTCTTGAAGGTTTGGTGGCAGTTTTGAGGCTAGCGGCTAGTAGGTTGGAGGCCATCACTCTTAGGTTGGAGGCCATCGCTCTTAGGTTAGAGGCCATTGCTATTAGCTTCTTTTTGCTACTGCTATTACTGTAGGTTTGGTGGCAGTTTTGAGGCGGTTTTCCTTCTTCTCCATGACCTCAACCTCCTAGGGAGCTGTTCTAAAACATGGGAACTGACTACGACACGCACGGCACCTCAACAAAAACCTCCCAACTGGCAGCTGCGAACCCTCCAAAAAATCCAAGAAGGACAAAACACCCAAGTTGGGGAGGTCTTCCTGGGAATATGTTTTTCAAAAACCTCGACTTTGGCATGTTTTTTCCTCATCGCTGGTTCCGCCATCCCCTTCCATCGCAGCACACCCCCTGACACCAAGGAGCTCAGTGGCAACAGCTTGGGCCTGGAGAGCACCAGCACCTGACGCCGCTGTCGGAACCGCAGAACGACGGGAAGGGGCAGGCGAACAGAACTGGGATACCAAAAGCAAAAATCCTTCGCACGCACACACAGCCACACACCTGGTGTAATTGGTCCCCCTTGTTCCGGTCAAAGCACCCAGCCGTGGCCCGGCCCTTGGACTCCTCGCCCCTGCCCCCCCCTGCGGCCCGGCGCACCAAGCTTTGGCCGATCTGTCCGGAAGACAAGCGCAAGCGGTGGAGCTCGGTGATCGGCGTGGCCTCTCCTGAGCCGTCCGTTTTGTGCGCGGTACGAGGTACGACAAAGGACTCCCGGCTCGGTAAAAGGAAGAGAAGGGCAGTTGGAAAAAGGAAGCGTTGATCTTCAAAAAGGAAGCTGCCGATATCTGCCTATGCTCTATATGTTTGTCTTGTTTCGTGGGGAAAGCAATTTAGAAGTAAGGTTTCAGCTGGTTTCAGATTATCCACGGAGGCAGGTGGAGGTTGAGGAGTCGAGGGCTGGTTGGATGGCTGCCATTGGGAAGCCAAGAACTTCCGTAACTTGGGCGACCGGCTATTGAAGCTCCTCAAGCCAGGTGAGATTTCCCAAAGGCAGTCGGGGTTACCATGCTAGTACCCAGCGGTAACCAGTGGTTCCGAAGACTAAAACCATAGACCTAGAAGCCCTGCTTCCTTATGTAGTGGTAACTGGGATCCACCGGGTTCCACTCGGTGATGCGAAGGAAGCTCTGCATTGTTTTCATAGGGAGTCCACAAGTTGATGCAACGGCAAAAAGGAGCGCTCAAGTAGTACACTCAGAGCCTCAGAGCAATAACCCCTCAGGGCAGTTTTTTTCTTCATGATGGTTCGTTCCAAGAGCATTCTTCCAGAAGAATTGGTCTATGAGATCTCATATCTACAAGTCTAAACAGTTTGGGGAACTACAGTGGTCCAAACACTCAAACTCTTAAGAAGCAAGGTCTCCCCAAGGTCTGCACCTTTCTGCTCTCCTCAAGGTCTGCCAAACCTCTTCTTCTCAGTACGTAGCCTTCCTCTCCGAACTTGTGGCACGCTTTGGCGCGGACGTCGTTTGAGAAAGCTGGACGATTTTGCAAACATTCCCAGACACTCTCTGGACTGGCATAGGACTGCCGACCCATTGAACCCCCTGGCACCACCCCTGGCCTGATCGGCAGTCCTATGGCAGTCCTAGTTGCTACATCATTCAAGAAGCCTCAATGTTGCTACATGTGTTGCATCTATTTATCTCTCGCTATCTATCTATCTATCTGTCTGTCTGTCTGTCTGTCTATCTATCTGTCTATCATGCAAAAAAAAACACACCATTGATCCACATGCTGCTGTCGCAAACTCAAGGAATCCCATCAACCCCCGCATCGTTCGCCCCTGCGAACGCTGACCACGGCCGCATGGTGCGCACCCGCAGCAAGCCAAGCCGCCATTGATGAATTTTGGTCCCATCAACTCATTATCCCTAAGGATCCGCACCCTCAAAAACAAGGGCTTTGAGGGTACAAACCCTTGTGAACTAGAGGGTTCGACCCCTTCGGATCCTTAGGGACGGATATATCATAACCCCGTCCGGGTCCATGGTTCTACTCTTGTCCGGTCGGTAGAACCAGACCGTCCGGGTCCCGGGAACCTCCGTTTGCCAAGTGGTCTAACTTCTTCCAGTGGTTCTACTCTATGCCCAAGGCACCGTTGAGGGAGACAATCCGGTCATACACGGAGATGGCATGCTGTGGATTCAGCTCGTTGTGCCGTTGAACGAGGCCATCCTCACGGAACAGGACGTGGAAAGAGAAAACGAAGGTAGAAAGCCCACCTGAGAACCGAAGTAGTGACAATATAGATAGATTATGCATGTATAGATGTTGGTTTTATAGACCCCCCTGAAGATGCATGTTCTATCCAATTTAACAACCCTTTGGGTGGTGCTGGCAACCTGGTATAGACTCTACAGTAGTAGATTCTAGTTGGTGCACTACATCAGATTTCATGAATACATGGCCCTGCCATGGTCAGGATCGAACGTAGACCAGGTCATCTCCTCGTGTTTGATCGCTCGCACGGACGCGACGCACCGCCCGTCTGACTGGACTACCCTTCATCCCTCGATCGACCTTCTAAGGGTAGGTCACTGGATAGGCACTGCGACGACTGGATAGGCAGGTGGTGAAGGATCTGGACTCGCACTGCAGAAGAGGACGAAAGATCATTGAGAACAAAACGAAACATGTGGAGCAGAGCAGAGATGTCTATCAGCAACTGGTATCCATGGTCTTTCAATGATCTCCCCTTGGGACACTATACAAAGAGGAGCAAGAAGATTCTGGCCAAAGGCTCACCGGCTCACCAAAAATAGAGCACAAGGAAGCTCGAGAAAGTAAAAAACGCCATAAGTTGGACATGGTTGGATGGGATAGCCCCAAAGAAGTTGGACGTCCAAGGCATCCAAGCAAACGAGGGGCATCGTTCCACAAGTGGCCACTTTTGGCCAATCCACTCAAAATGGTCCTATCCACTCTCCTCAGCTCTTTTCTCCTTCGCCTCCGGCCCCAACCTTTCCCACCATACCCCCCAAAATGGAACCTCCAACTGCCGCACCGCGGTCAGACCTGGTAACACCCACCACCTCCGCCGTCTGTGCATCCCCAAAAACGCACTACGCCGTCCCGCGGAGTCCGAAACCTGGTCCCGGAAAAGGGCTCTGTCCGGTGGGTGCCACTGGGTCCCAGCCTCGCTGATGTGGAGGATCATGGAGCCTCGTAGGTCGGTGTTGTCCACTTCAATGCCCAGTTGCGGCGACGACGCGTTCAAGTCCAGGCTCACGCGAAAGCGGCCTCGGATGGTGGGGCCCCTCCAGACCGAGCGTTCGAGTGTGGTCGGTGGCGGTGGCCGGGTCCTGTTGGGCAAGCCCAGGTGTTGGTTTTTGGGCAGCGACATGCAGCTTGGCCACAAGGCTTTGTCAGCGATGAAGTGTGGTGGGAAGTTTTGGGCATGCGGCCAGCGGCCAGGGGTCAAGGGGGGCAAGGAGGGATGTGTTGCAGTGACGCCAGGTAGGCATCATGGTAGAGGCAGTGACCTCCACAATTTTGGACAGCTTGACGCTTTCGATGCTGAAGTGAGTCTTACCATGACAAGTGTCTTTCTACTAGTCCAAATGCAGAACTCGTGGCATTGCTTCCCCCTTTGCAGTATATTACAACTCGACTGCCTACAACTACACTCCTCAAAACTTACGAGGAAGTAAATCTAGGCGAGGACGCTGTTTACGAGGAAGTTGGTGATCATGTAAAATCCCCCCGGGAATAGACCACAGACAAGTAAGGTTGATTGGGACCATGACTTCCTGGTTAGGTTGATTGGGACATGCTTTAAAACACTTCCTGGTAAACCAAATGGCTGGGTGTCTAGATTTGCTTCCTCGTAAGTTCTGGGGAGTGCACACATGCCATCGATCATGTGCAAGGTGAATTCACAGATACCTGCTTTGATTAGAATACACAAATGCAAATCTAACGAGGAATTTAAAGAACCTCTCTCTCTTGATCCTGTTTAACGAGGAAGTTTACCAAGTTATCACAAAAATTGGTAGGCTTCTTTGTTGGCTAGATGCTTCCGGACATTCTAGTTTTTGCACTGACAAACGAGGAAGTCGAGCAAGTCTAGCAAGTTTAGCATGTCAAACTTACGAGGAAGAAGTCTTTCCCAACTCAAAAATATGACACGCAGAGCCTCCACAGTAAGATGCTAAACGAGGAATATTATAGGGAAACTACTTCCTCGTAAGTTCTGGAGAGAGTAACTAGCGGCTACGCCATAGAGGCCACCGGACGGTTCGGAAGGGAAGCCCCGGATTTTTCCACCATGGCAGCAGTGCCGAAGAGAGTGGAAGTCAGGGCCCACATCCACAGGATGTGACTCTTTTAGCCCCCGGAGGTCCGACTCACTCACTGCGTGTCTTCACTCGCCGGTCCGATCCCGCACTTCTCGCTGTGGTGAGGCACATGTGGCTCCGCTCATCACACACCGCCCCCAAACGATCTGGAAAACCAGCAAAATACCACCAAATGTAGGCCTATATGTCCAGTCACGACGGACTCGACGGGGTGCTGAACTTGGAGGTAGGAGTTGGGTGCCCGGCTCCACTCACTTAGAGACCAAACACCACCCCGACATGTGACCACTGGATATATGGATTCCTTGAGTTGGAGACTTCAGATTTCACTTTCTCCAAGACACCTTGCGTGTCAGTGGGATCCAACACATGAGATGATGGCACCTCAGCGAGCACAATCTCCTCATCGTCGGTGCCACAGCAGCAAAACATGGCCCACCACTCGCTCATGCGGGTGTCGCCGGGATACCGCAAATCGTCCGCTCTAGGAGAGAATTACACGAACGCGCAGGGAGAGCTTTGATTTAGAACCACCCGAACGTGGGTGGTGGTGCTCTGCTGCAAAACATGGCAAAACAAGGTGCAACAACTTGACATCAAATCTTGTTATTTGGTTTGTGCTTGGACCACATGCCTAGCGGGCACCATGCTTGGGCTATAATAAGTGACTCACCTTTCTCTTGAGCCAAGTGAGACTCTTGGCATGCGCGACATTGCTTGGCGACATCCTGAAAGCTGGGTAGCTCTCCTGAAAGCTTGGCCAGGCATTCACTCCGTGTTTTCCGGCTCCATGTTAGCGAGTCACATGGCATATGGTCCGAAAGCCGGTACCCTCTTCGTACTGGGCACAGCGCGACAGAGTGCCGTATGCTGGGTGAAAACAACAAACCACTGCAGCAAAGTCATTCCACCAAGTTACTGAGTCATGCGGATGATATCTCTTTCTCTCTCTCTGCCAGCTACGTCATTGGCTAGGCATCACGCACCACAGGAAGTTGAATTATATAAACCACGCGGAGGCCGGTGGCAAAAACACAGCCGGGCGCGGCACACTAGACATCAAGAGGTTCACGTTTCTTTCCAACACACAAGGCCCCTTTCTTGAAGAAGGTCACGGTGGGAGTCGTTGCTTTTTGGACTCATGAGTGTGAATCGCTCAATGCAGCTATCATTATAGCCATAGCTCTAGTCTCCACTTTCGAGTTTACCATGTTGCGCTGCTACCAGTGTTTTCCCCCACCCTCCACGGTCTCGAAAGCAACATGTCGACCGTCCAAAGTAGGATCTGAACAGTTGACTCACTTACGAGAGAGTCCAAACAGGTCGCGCCCGCCACTGCCAGGTCTCCTCTTTTGAACATTGGACCCTAAACATCGAGAAAAAACAACCACATTGCTAACCGGTCCTGGTCGAGTCCAATGCCAATAAAACAAACTTGGAAGGTCCTGCGAGATTAGGACCTTGGGTCCCGTGGGCCTTGGATTCGGTTTTCCTGGCGCCATCTCCCAAGTCCAGGAGCCCCTTCTCTTTGCCTGAGAGGCTCGCAGCTGGACTTGGACCATGTAGGCCTGGCGATGACCAAAACGACCGCCGAAAGATGTGTTCAACACGGTGGACTCCGCCTCCATGTAGTTTTCCGCATGGGGCTTCCGATTTGTTGATATCTTTTTCATATCTTGTTCAGAACATCTTCCTACAACAATGAGAGAACAGAACCTACCAGGACAGTTCTACCTACATCAGGACGGCTTTCCCTACGAGAATGGTAGGTCCAACCATTTTGAGGTCAGATTTCTACATCGAGACAAAAAGAAGCCGCGCATAGTCCACGATTCTGAGGAGGAACATGCGTGGCCGTGGCATCATCTTCCAGAGCTTCGACTTCCAGCGATGCTAAAATCTATTCTGCATGGTCTAGAGATTTGCCGGGGAAGATGGGAGTGGATGGAAGATTAGGCCAAAACGCAACTAGCCAATCTTTGCCAAAAGCATCCAAAAGCCCTTCCAGCTTACTTTTGATCTTTGAGCCGAGGCAAACAGGAGAAAGGTCATGCTCCAGGGTCTAGGCGTGCCTTCCACCACTTGGATCAGCCCAACAACGGCTTTCCGACCTCCATTCCACTCCTGAAAACTAACAGTGGACCCGGGTCGAATGGCACCCAGTTTTCCTCCACAAACTCTACAAACCAGTGGTTTTCAGAGTCTATGTAACCAAACCCCTTCCACCTGTCACCTGTTTATCTTTAGTGGGGTATACGTCCTCCCAAATCAGGTGGTTCAGATCATCCACGGAAGCCCCCCCCTCGAACGGCCTAACCGCATGACGAAACGTCGTGACGAGTCACGCGGCCTTTCTCCAGGAGCTCTTGCTGGAGCTCACTCGCTTGTCCAGCTGCGGGCTTGGCCACTTGTGGGGACAAGACCTGTGCCTGACACGGTCGACGAAGCTAAGAACTAGACCTGGAACGATCACCATGGAGCCTGATAGCATGGACCGTTGGAAGACCAGCTTCCCCACAAAGCAGTGGTCTTCGGGTTCCATGTTGATCTACCCGGGCGCATATGGCAAAGAATAAGGCATGGCAAGGTGCTCTCTTCTGCAAGGTCAAGTCGTATCTGCCTCTAAGACTAGAGTTCTAGATTGTGGTGACAAGCGCGGATGGAACAGAATAGATTCCAACAATATTCCAAACAGTGGAGCCCCCTATAGTGGACATGGACGAATTCCTTTTGCACCTTCAATACATTAATCCGGACATGGGATTTGTACCTTCAATGTAGGAGTTAATTCTGTTGACTTCATCTACCTGGTTCTTCAAGGTGAACTTGATATCCCACTTTGAGGTCACACAAGGGCCTGTAAGTTTGAAGGGACTCCAGTTCGTTCGGTCTTCTCACTGAAGCTGTCTCGGTCCATTCATTGCATCGACCTGCAGTGGACCTGCGCCAGTGGACGCACCGCACCTTGAGGATCCACAGGATCAACCCGTCTCGATGAGCTGGCAAGATGGGCAAATCTTTTCCTCCTCGGAGCATCGTGGCGCTGCGTTTGGGGGGCAAAAAGCCAATGACAGGTCACCAGGAGGGATCGGAAGCAGGGAGAAAGCTGAGACGAGAGATACCTACACTCTCGAAAACGATGGATCCAGGGCCGAAGGGCAGCCTCAAAGGCTGTTTTCCTCTACTAGCCAGTGGTTTTCAGGGTCTATGCTTGTTTTCAGTGGGCTGACTATGTGGTACCTCTCTTGAGTGTAGCTGATCATTCAGGCAACGCATGGGATGTGTCGAGGAGCCTACTGGGAGGCCTCTGGACAGGGTTGGTGCTTCGTACCCAGCACCAGGTCCGTGAACGGCTTGGTCCATGGTGAACAGCTTGGGGTCAGCTTGTCAGCTTGGTGAAGAGGTGGATGTTTACATCTTTCAGCTTGGCACCTTCTCTGGAGCAAAGCCGGACAGGGCAACACACAAATATAGGAACTGTTCTGTGGCAAAGTCCAATCTGGCCCACCACATGCCCCGGGTCCCATCTCATAATATTCATCAACTGCATCCGCTCCACCCAGCTCACTCCAAGGGGCGGCTACGGCTGCGGCTTTGCACATCCATCGCCAGTTGTTTCAACTTGGCCTCGCTCATGCCCTCCAGCTCCCCCCTGCTTCGCACGTCCATCCGCACCACGTCCGCGGAGGGCGGGTCCGCGCGCAGGTCGGCGCAGAAAGGGGCCTACCCAGAAACGTTGAAAAGAAACGCGCTGGAATCAACTGCAAAGGCCAGCTGGGGTGACATGCTGGCTGAAGCTGGCAATACATTCCAGTGACCTAACTGATGCAAAAGTCCCATCCAGTGACCTTGTCACCTCAAAGAAGGGAAGAACCAGGTTGATGCAAAGGCTCGTGAGAGACGATGATCGTGTCTTCGTCCTTGAGTCAAAATGACATGTCTCGCATGATCGTGAAGATGGTTGACTGCTGGCAACAGGTAACAGTTCAGCCCTTTACATGCTATGAAATCCACGCCAGGCCTGATAGGTGTTCAATGCTGTTCCACACCTTTTCATACTGGAATCCCTCAGTTTCCATGGAACATAAAAAGTAGTTCTAACCTGTTTCCACCCTTTCGTTGACTGAGGACACCAATCCGACCAAAAAGGGCTTATGAATGTTATCCACTTGTCCTGGGTGGGGGTATACCGGTATACCAAACATATCCCAACATGCCCTCTCCCAAAAAAGAGCCTGCCTCAGCAACCATTGACTCCACCCACCGTTTTAAGCTGGTTGGTGGTTGAAACCACTCATGAACCCCCCAAAAACCGATGAGTGAGTGGCTTCCATCATCCCTTGAAAGTAAGAGCTTGAACACCCCAAGTATATCCGACCCATTCCGACCCTAAAGGATCCGAACGGACCCTCCATGGCAAAAGGGGGTCGAACCCTCTATCACAAGGGTGACAGGGGCCCCTCACCAAACCCCTTGTCTTTTGAGGGTGCGGATCCTTAAGGGGACCAGCTTTTTGCTGCGTCCGGAGGAATCTCCGAATCGCTGTAGCTCCGAATCGCACGGTTCCAGCTGAGGCATGCTGAGGCCACCTAGCGACCAACAGAGGTTTTGGCAAAGCCCGACGATCATCGACGACTACTACTACTACTACTACTACTACTACTACTATACCATACTTAGGTACCCCAGGTGACGGTTCGGGTCCTGTTATTTTCAGGTCACTTATAAACCTCCGTTGTTATAGGTCAGGCACTTCCACTTCCTTCCAGGCTTTCTGCTGCGCCTGCACCGCCCGAAGCCTCAACCCGCTGCGCCCCTGGAGCGGCCCGGCACGGCCCAGTGGCACCGAGGGCGGCACGCCATCTGGCGCGCGCAAGCCCTGAGACTCCAAGCCTGGCGAAGCGGAGAGAGTTGACTCAGGGGGTGGACTGAAGAAGTGACTTTCTAGAGAGAAGAGGGCTGGAAGATAGTTGGATGAGCTGAACCTATCCAAGATCTTCCAGCCTTTTTGAACAAAGGGTGAGCGGGAATGGTTGGAATATGTTGGAATGGTTGGCCTGGAAAAAGGGATGCATGCATGTGTTCTTTGACGGATGTTGTTTTTGCATGATTCAGGTGTGTCCGTCATCGATATCCAGGGGATGTGCTGTGGTATTCCAAGCTCACGCATTCGCAATCATTCACATATGAGCTGCGGACAATATATTACTTGTGTAGTCATAGGCCATTGGACATGGTTATCGTTTTTTTTTTTGTGGGTGTGGGGTCCATATTGTTAGACCAATATTGTGAGTCTAGCATCAACATCATCAACAATACAATGTGTCATTGGAAGCTCGTTTTGAGTGAAGGCACAATCTGATCCAGCATGTATATAGGCCGCAATAAGCTATATCATGTCTTGTTTGGGGTCAGCACTCTCTACCATCAAGTGTGACAACTTACTGTCACTACCCTGAGCTATGTCAAACTGCACGGTATCTCCTGTATAGAAGCCGCTGCAGCCAATCGTGCTCATGGCACCAACGCCATGCGTGTGCTAAGGACTTGATGAGAAATTCAACATAATTTGGATGCCAAAAAAAACACATTAACACTACATTTACACAAGGAAACATATTAACACTTGAAGACTTGAAGATTCCTTTTCTGGCCGGGGGTCATAGGATGTTCGCGGGCAAATGAAAGAAAGTGATACTTCTTCCTACAAGGCCTGCGGGCAAAGCATAAGCATTATATATCTGGCACTTCTCTTCAAGCAAAGTGAAAGCCAGATATCCACATGAATTAGATATCGAATTTGGTGCACTCTTTGGAGCCACAATAGAGCCGCAGCGCGATCCGATGTCGAATCGTTTGAGAACATGTGCTTTTTTAAGTGTCACTTCCCGGTCAAAATCATGCGACTTTTGAAAACATTGTCCGTTGCCTTGGGGGAAAAAACGCACCAATCCCTCGGCAGAAGTCGTCGCTGGCTGAGAACGCAGGAGATGCCCGACGACTGCATTTGATGCTCCTCCGAAGCCTGTGAGAGTGACCCCAAGTGCTGAAGCGCCCTATAGGAGAGAAAATGACATGCCAATATACTCATTGAAAGCGTGTTCAAAGCTTTCTGTCCCGTATATTGTCCCGTTCTTCTCACCTCAAACCAGGTCAAGTCCGCATCTCAGGAAAAATCCGGTCCCTGAGGAGTCACACGTTGAGGTAAAGCTTCTCCAACGGAGCCTCGTGTGGTCGCGCCCAGCCCAGCCCAACCCGCCCAAGCAGCACCTATGGGAGATCGATGGTCTAGGAGTCTAGGAGACTGTTGCCATTTGCAAGGCAAAGAGTAGTCTTCTACCCTGGTTCTTCAAAGTGACCTTTTGATAATCTGGTTTAAGGCCTCCTAAGGGTCATGAAAAGGAACCTTCAAAAGGTCACGAACTGAAGAAGCTGGTAGCATAGCGGCTATCGTCATATGGATGACAAAGAGACCTCTCCCTCTCTCTCCACAGACTGGTATAATAGGGTGTCGTTCCGTGTCTGTAGCCATTTCATGCTACTTCTACATCTGTTGTGTACTGTTCAATTATTCTATTGGAACAAGGTGCCTACAACCAGTCATCAAGCTCCTTTTTTTCGCAAGACACTGACTTGTCTGCAACTTTTGGGAGCAACATTTTTGTCCAAAGGGTGGGACTTCTCCGCAGGCCGACCATCGCTCAACATGGATCCAACACACTGGCCAGTTTTTTCACCTGAGAGCAACTGCCACTTTAGTGCCTTGCTCTTTCCGGGAGCTACGCCCCCCTCTCCCACAGACGGACCAGGGCCCTATAGAGGCGCCTGCTCAATTTCGGGCGGATCATACTGCGCCATGTGCTGAGTGTAGAAGCTCCTGACTGCGAGACTCGGGCGAGACGGTGGAGGACAACGGTAGAGGCGAGACTGCCTGGTCTCACAAACGCACGGGAGCATGCATGCGCATGGCCGCCAAGGACCTTCGATGCTTTAAATATCAAGTCTACTGCCTAAGAGTAAATGTGTGAGATTGCAAGTCGAGAATCTCATGGATGAAAAGACCTCCAGCCATACAAAAGCCACACACTTAGAAACTCTAGATCGTTGAGACTACAAACCCCTAGGGATCCAAGTACCTCCTCAAAAGGTACTTGGACCCTCCAAACCCACCCCAAACACCTTCTCAGAGGGTACTTGGATCCTTAGGGAACTTTTATTAGGCTTTGAGAGGTCAAGCACCCCGCTTGATGCCATCCAACTGCCCCAACAGTCATCTTGATCCCTAGGGCTCCAGTCGTACCGCTGACTGGTGCTTAATAGGGAATGAGGGAATGAGCCCCCAATAGAGATTCCTTTGTAACTCATTCCCTACTAAGCACCAGTCAGATTGGGTGCCCCACCCCAGTTCCAGTACAACTCGTTTCACGAAGCTACGACGTACTGGAGCCTTCCCGTTGCTCGCGCCTGGGTACCAGTCTGATGGACACACCCGGGTACACGCGGCCTCGGAGGCGTGGAGATAGGTTTCAGAAGTCGGACGGCACCTGGGTCTGACCCAACTGGCTTCCCTCTATGGTCATCCTAAGAACAAATAGGAAAAAGACACTGAGAATGAGAAGTTGGTCATAGTTTTCGGATTGGGATCTATTGTCTAATTGCTTCAGGATGGTTGTAACATGTTGTATGCAGTTGTATATCTCATATCTAAGTTGTATACAGTATATCTTCATCTGCATCTCTTCAAGTCATGGGACAGCTTCAACTGCCCAACATGGCCAGTGGAACATCGACCCGCCCACGCCCACGCCCGAGCGAGGGGTTGGCCTGCACGTCCTGAACGTTGTGAGGCTGATGCATGTGAGACCCACCTGAGATCCGACGATTTCGAAGGCGCCAAGGAAGAAAGGCGGCGGAAAAAAGAACTTCAAGGATCGTGAGGCTGTGAGTTCAGATATGTGAAGATACTTAAAACATCTAGGTTCGATCGCTAGCTCAGGAGGTTGTCCTTGTTTCAGGATTTTACATGAAACTGTGCTGTTCTACTTGGGACGACGGGTGTTGTTGTTTTTTTTTGGTTGAATCTCTCATGATTGTCCGTCCCCCAGCACGAGTCGGGCATTTCTCACCAGCTGGCCCTGTCTGCTTGGCAGATCAAGGCGAAAAAGACGGAAGCACCAGCCCTTGCAGCTTGGCTTCGAAACCCCTAACAACTTGGATCCTCGATGCATTCAGCAGATTCATTGAATCAATCACTGAATGTCAAGCCATCTGTGCTCAAGAGGATGGACTCTTTTTCAGAAAGCTGAGATAGTGATAGTGCTTCCATGTGCTTCCCCAAAATCATCTGCTCTTGCTTCTGAGATCCACTGGCTACGAAAATTGCTAGGTCCAATCGATCGATGCTTCTCATCCGTTGTACTCTTAAGATGCATCACTGGTGCGCGAGAAACCACCAGAAAGCGGCGCGGAACAGGACAAAAAGCATGGCATGTGCTCAGCTCATGGTGAGCTCCTTCTGTTTCACCAAGCTCCTCTGGAGCTCCCCTACCTTCTCTGAGAGCTGATCACCATTGCGAGGCAACAGCTGGGCCTCCCTCCTCAGGTGCCGGGCTTTATGAGCATGTGGCAACTTGTGGTACACTCCCCGAAACAAACATGGAAGTGGGTGGCATGGACGGGGGTTTTCCACTTCCATGTTGGCTCCATGTTGGGGCAATCAAATCGACCCATGTTGGCTCAGAAAGCATGCTTTCTGTTCGCCCAGGGCAACTTGACCCGAAGAAAAACATGATACATGTGGGTCAACTGGTCCACAGTTGCCGAACAGGCCACAACCAAAGGGTGGAATCACGGCCGCCCAGACAGAGGAATCCTGAAGTTCTTGGAAAAAAACGGTTGTAGCCGAACAGGATCCGACGGCGAATGAAAGACGCCTACGGACCTCATGGGCCTCTGAAGAGGCCCATGACTTGTGACGTTCAACTCTCCAAAGAGCCCCGGGGTGTTGTGTCATAGAAGTGACATGGCCACGGAGAGCGAACAACAAACAAATCAACACGACAGACTCGATATCAGGGCAGGGCATCCAAGCAACCAACGACACAAAAAGGGGCAACCAACGCCAACATTGAGAATAAGAACATGCAACACTGCAGCTACTTCTAAACCACATGAAGCTCTGTTATTGATATGACAACTTATACAACATCATACAACCAACCTAATTACACTACCACTGTTCCCCAAAACGCACACTTAGATACTCCAAGCATCAAGGCAGCCTGGCAAAGCTCCTGAGCTTCTTGTTCCTTCCCCTCCACTGCAGCGGCTGCAGCTTCGATGTAGCTCGCGAAGGCCGAGATCCGTGTGGCCGCCACGCCCAAGGTCTTGCGCACGTAGCGCCGTAAGAGTTGCGCCGCTGCCTGGGCAGGGCAACACTGCTCCGAAACGAGCTTCATATCGGTCCCTAGCGATCCAAGTACCTTCTCAGAAGGTGTTTGGGGTGGGTTTGGAGGGTCCAAGTGCCTTCTGAGAAGGTACTTGGATCCCTAGGCGGTGTACATGCATGCCCTAAGAATCCTTGGGCTGTCCATGACAGGGGTCAGACTCGACACCTTCGCAGGGGTCCGGGGCCGAAACCAAACCCTATCTGTTGCTTCGGGCCCGGATTCTTAGGGTGAGGTAAAAGTTACTTTTTGCATTCGGAGAGCTAAGTGCCTGAGTGACATCGAGCCCTTAAGACGAAACAAACACCATGGACTCTTCTTGTCCGAAGCAATCAGACCTGCTTGACACATGCATGTCCAGTTTGCTTGGATTTGATGCTTTCGGGCTGGACGTTACATGACCGGTTGCTGTCAGAAGTGAAGCCTAATACTTGGATTCTTCTAGTACTCTAACTCCCTCCGTCGAACTTTTGACTCCAAACTTCCTCCGTTCTCCTGGCGACAAATCCAAGGTGCTCGGGCGTCTTGCACTCGCTCTTGACGGATGAGCTCCTCCGCTGCCAGGCGAGCCAACTTGGCGCTGATCCAATGGCCATCCAAGGCTGGAACGATGGACTCCGTCTCTGCGGCTTGGTCGACCAAGCCGTCATACCTGTTCTTTTGAGGGAGGATGTTGGTGTGGTGTGAGAGCTCCGGCCCGGAGCTCTTTGTTTTATATGTAAAGGACATATGGTTGGACAAGTGCGGAAGTTGTTTGTAACAACAGTAGCACTTGGCGGACGAAGCCCTCAACAAAAAGAAAGGTCAAAGCTTCAAGTCTGGCAATAGATAGGACCGGATGCATGGCTAAGGCAATCTGCGACAAGTGCTTGGTTCTTTCAGGTCTCAAGGAGAAGACGTGCTCTTGCCATAGCTCTTCAGTTCCAAGCAGGGTCTCCTCTGGAAGCACTGCCTTGCAGCAATTGCAAGGACCTCAGATTGGTCTTCGAAACGTTAAATCTTTCTTTGTGAAAGTGAAGGTGATCAATGACTGAACATGGCCGTGATTGGCCGTGGGTCAAAACTGGGATACGTTGGTAACACGAGGGGCAAGCAGCAGCTACATTGGGAAACAGGCCCCAGGTTTGGATCCACATCTCAACAGGGCTTTCCCAACCAAGTCAGCTCATCCAAAGCATTGCAGACTAATACCCAGACACTCCATGGGACTGCCATATATGCAATGCCAGGGGGGGTCAATGGGTCGGTAGTCCTATGGCAGTCCCAAACAGGTCGTGTCTGGGATATGACTCCCAGCCACCCCAGCGGTGGCCGGGTCCGACCTCAGAAGCCTCATACTTCATCACACCAGATCCACAGCTACATCGAAAGCCTCGGGTATCTTCCGCAGCTCCACAGCGCTCGCCTTGGCATTTTGCTGGTCCAGCCGCGAGAAAAATAGAAGACATTAATAAAAACGATTTCAGTTTCTGGGGATTCACCCCGGAACCGGGACAAGTCTTAAGAAACCATCTTTCGCCGTTGGCCGGGGATTCTCACCCAGCTCTGGAATAATCGGAATATGTTAACAACTATGCTAAAACTCTTAACCAAAAAAACACTCCTAAAGCCAAAAACCCAGGTCGCAGTTGCAGGTGAATCCCCAGTGCCCGAGCTGCTCCTGTCGGTGTGGGCGAGGGCGCAAGAGATCTCCCTCGCCGATGTAGGAGACGAAGACCGCTTCACCTGCTGAGTTCGGTAGGGCCGTGGGGGCGCCCCCATGTGCCCCCCCCCTGGTGGAAAAGGGGAGGCCAAGGGGGGTGGATCTGGAGAGTCTTTTTGGGGCAAGATCCTTTTTGGGAAGGTCCAGGGAACTATCAACAAGAATTCTTGTTTGATATTGCTTGTTTGATCTGTTTTTTTTGTTTCGGTCCATCGCTAAAAAGAAAGAAGACTTGCACAGGAAATGCACAGACGGAACGTGCGCGGCTCACCTGGATGCAAGTCTCTCAAAGCTTTCAGGTGCATGGTGCCGTCCTCTTGGACGCACAACGCGGCATTGGGCTTGCAGCTGTGATTGGCTCTGCACGACACAGCGTAGACGGCGCCGCCGCTGCCAGCGGATTCCCTCACTGCCACAGAGTTGGTGCGTAGAACCCGCACGAAGCGTAAGTTGTCCCCTTCAAAGCCGACCTCTTTCCTGAAACGGGGCTGCTTAACGAGCCCCGAACCAGGGCGGCAAAATATGCAAAGCAGCGCCTCTCTGAAACAAAGCTCATACTATACAAGTTTGGTTCCACAAGTGCTGTCAGGCGTGGGTCAAGGCTCAATTGATATGTGCTGGAACCCATAGTGGGGGAATCGCCCAAGGATTGAATGTCAAGAAAAGGTCTTGGTGTTATCATGTGTTATCCATGGTTCTCAGGCACTCCAGGTGACGCAGCTAGGCTCAGCAATAGCTTTCTCTTCGCTTCTGTCATCTGATTAAAGGCTAGCACGGAGTCAGCCAGAGAGTGTCCATGTGGCCGATGGAACAGCGGGGCTTCTTCTATTAGAAGACTTCCAGCTGTGGCACCCTGGGGCACCACCAAACCTAAGCCCACCTCATCACTCACCTTCACCACTTCGACCAATGGAACGCCGTTGCTGGCGACGCCAGGGACCCTGCTGCACTCCTGCAGGATGCATAAAAAGCGCATAATGTGTTCTTGTTGGGGGGAACGTGCTTTCCTTGTTCTATGATTCGTTGGCATTGGAGTATATATTGGAATATGATCTGCAATGATCCTTTCGGGATCACCTTCTTGGGGCCCAACCAGCTGCAAAAAAAGACCGTGTCACCTCAATGAGAGGGGTTCACCTCCTGTGACATCCCGTGGCGGCCACCTTGTCGTCTTGACTTCGCTTGCGACTCACTCGAGCACTGCTCCGCACCGAGCTGAGGCCGACGGCGCCGAGGCCCAGCAAGCGAAGGACGCGGACGAAGTGTGGAGCGAAGCTCGACGCAGCGGGTTGGAGCACGGAGCTGGAGCTCCAATGGGTCCCCTTCACAGTGATGCGTGCTGCGAGCTGGAGACTGCGGCGAGGTCCAGGTGTGAGAGGTGCCGTCGCCATGGCACGCACGCGCCGCCGGCAAATGCTGATGCGCCAGCTTGCTGGAGCCACCGAGCTGAAGCCACCTTGCAGCCAATTGAAAAAGAGCTTGACCGCCCAGTCAGGTGAAAAACAAGGCTTTTGGGAAGCTTGGGAGCTCGGTACATCCGTACCAAAAACAAACGCCAAACTAGAGCTGCACCACTGACTGGAAGTGGAGATGTTGAGATGGAGTTGGGGTACGAATCACATCTGCATCAAGGAGCCCGTTGGCACAACATCCCAAACCCCCTCAGATGAATGCTTATGTTATATATTATGTGTATATATATATATACCTTCTCTCTGCTTCTTTCAACAAATGCATCAAACACTAGCGAATGACGTCCTACCACTACCAAGCCAAATGCATTTGGCTTCGGGGGGGTGGCGCGGGGTTTCTTCCATCCATCCATTGCCTTCACTCCCCTCCCAGCTTGGTCGGTCTAACCCCGCGGTCAGAATTCAAGGCACTGGGTCAGCAAACAGCTCACCCCTTGTCGGGAGGGAGCCATCTGTCGCCGCAAACAGGTATCGATCACCACCCGCACCTGGCGGCGCCGCAGGTGGCGCTGTGGGGACCGGTGTGGAGCGTTTGGAGGAGTGGACATCTGCAAGAACTCACGAAAAAAGGCAAACAGAGTTCTTTATGATTTTGCCTTGTAATGAACTGCTTTATATGATTTTGGTTTGTAATCTTTACATGTTGAAAGGGGGCAAGCAGCTCTCAAGGTAAGGTTTTTAAGAATACGCAGCTCTGGTAGCTGATCCTGACTCATAGATGGTCTCAGATGCAACAAGTCCTAGTCCTACTCCTACCTGTTTCCATGTTGTTTGTTTTCCATGTTGTCTAGTCTTGTCTGCCTTCGGCAGGGTGACGGAAGACTCTGCGATGGTGGACGCTAGGAAGATGTGGCAAACCTCAGTGTCATCGGTGCGGCAAGGTGTTCACAGTGGTTTCAGAGTAGATGGCACAAACCCCATGATGTCTTTTAGATGAGGGTACCTACAAAACCACCTCTTGGGGTCTGTGCCATCTACTCTCAATCCGCACCAAAGCCCCCAAAGACTGGTGGATGATCAAAGTTATATAATTGTGTCCAGAGTCATGAGTCATGCGACATGCTGCAGAAGACTGCATCTCGCCTCAAACAAAGGGCCTCGGCATCCAACGCACGATACATTGGTATATATCCCATTACAAGTGAGAGTTGACAATGGTTGGGTGAGGTTGAAGGCCTAGTTGATCATATTTCATATTTTGCTGAAGGTTATTGGCTTCCAGGGCCACACCCCACCCTAGCCTTCTGAGACCATCAACTAACAGAAAGGTTGACCTGTTTTTGTAGTGCACAATCCTTAGTAAACCAACGGTTGTTAGGCTTAGGTGAAGACTATTAAATCAATGGTGTCTGGGCCTAACAATATCCATCTTGATTGTACGCATGCACCGCAGGTCTTGGCTTAGCTCAACCATTTCCGCAGGGATGACATGGCGATGAGTCCGCGTCTCACTTCCTGCCAAGGGCACGTTCTCCGGTGGAGGTTGAAACGCCTGACGCAGGGTTGCGTCCCATCCAAGACTCCCAAAAGGGACCAGCTGAAGAAGGGAACCAAAACTATATACAATTCTAGGGGTCCCCAAATAGATAGAAACGGTTTCCAATATATACATCTTTAGTTGACATGTACTTTTCTATCTATGTGGGAGTTTGTATACACCCCTTGGCAGACTACAGTGTAATGATATCGATGGTGACAAGGATCACAATACCCTAGGGCTCCAACCATATCCTCAGAAGGTGTTTAGACCCTCCAAACCCACCCCAACCATCTTCTCAGGAGGTGGTTGGAGCCCTAGGGATATATCACCATGAAATGGATGGCCGCGTTCCTTCTTGTCCAGGTTCCAGTCGAGAAAATTTTCACACCCGGCCCGGTTTCTTCTCGAGGCCATGTCAAGGAGTCATGGGCAGTCGCAGCCATGTCAAGGCCACTTGTCACACAAGCTTCTTGGGTGACGAAGTGTAACAGCATGTGCTAGGAAGATACTGGGAAGTGTAGGAACTCTTAGCAAGTCTGGGATACAAAAGGATGCAAACTTCTTCTGGGACTTGTAGCATCTTGTATGCTGGCTGTACTCCACAAGCGGTCCATTTGTGACAGTCGGTCCTGATAAAGGGTTTTGGTATGTCCGACGCGCCCACTGTGTGTTTTTTGTTTCGACTCCGCCTGCTCTTGCTCATCCATGGGAATGGTGCTGTGCAGCACGAAGATCTTGAAACTCAGCCGCGCCATCGGGAACGTCAAATCTGGCGACGATCCTCCAAATCATGTTTGTTTAGCAAACCAGGATCCATAATTATCATAATTAATCATTTCCAGTAGCTTGACCCACAGCTTGATCTCTTGATTTGCATGAACATGCATGAACTCACCATCCCTTGACCCATCTCCCAAGAAATCACTCCGACGGAAGCAGCAAACAAAACACTCCAGCCAACCAAGCGTGAAGTCAATAGGTACCGAAACGGACCGAAAGCGATAGCCTCTACGCCTGCAGTGGCATCTTTACTGATCAGTTGGGTGTGGTTGACCAGGGTTCAATGTCTGAAACGCATATTGTGTTCCGGTCCCATGAAGAACCTGGGATATGTATCTGTCATTATCTTTCTGTTCCCACCATTGGCGGGTTAACAAGTGGTCTGGAGAGTGATGTGTCGACATGTTCAAGTTCTGTTGGGGCTACTTATATAAAACATTATAAAACAATACAACAATCATCCTACATGCCAAAATCATTGATCCCCCTGTGCATGACCCGGGATAGGTTGTGCTAAGCATTTTGCAGTGATAAATCGAAAAACTTGACCTCCAGGTGCCTACAGACGTGTCACTCTACAAAATGGGCACGCTGCAAAGGGGAATAGATAGAGATCTGGTGAGGAAATGATCTACAAGTGCCCGAAGCTGTGCATAATACATCTGTAGAGATGCAAGTTCTTGCAAGTCGACTAGAGCTAGAGTTCAATCTGGCAAAAAAAAAAGACCCATCGCCCTTGCACAAGTTTGCCTGCAAAATAATTGCAAAGTCTTCTACACAATGCATTCCGGCGTGTTCCAAACCACCTGAAATAGGAATTTCCACAGTTGCCTACGGAATCGCAAGTCTCCAAATCAGCATTTTGTGGGTGCACTTAGGTTTGCTCTCTACAAAATGCCAAACCTCAAAATGCAGGACAAGTCTTACTAGTATAAAGGAATGCCTTATTCCAGTGGTCAACACGTCTCATTCTGCAGAGAGAGCGTGCGGGAGGATATTAAGTTGTAGACATAGAGAATGCAATGCTGGTGGCTGATGACTTGGCCGATGGATTCCCGCAGGTGGGGCACCTCCAACATCTTCGGAAAGCCCTCCACCCCCCCTGCAGGGGTGCGTCCACGTGCACGTCCACGTCCATCGCGTTCGCCGCGCTCTGCGGCAACCCAGCTCGCAGGTGGTCCGCCGTGTGGGGTTTAAACCTCCCATGAATTGAAGCGGCCGCGAGCGGGGACAGATTTCAAGGACATATCTCCCTGAGGATCCATGGTGGCGTAAATATGACCGACATGCACCACCAAAAGCCAGCAAATGTTGGCCATATTTGCGCCACCATGGATCGTTTGGGCATGTATGATATGTGCAACCTAGTAGAGATGGCCTCCAACCTACTAGAGATGGCGTCCAACCTATAGTAGAGATGGCCTCCAACCTACTAGAGATGGCCTCCAACCTGATAGCGGTGGTCGCAAGGGGGACAAACTTCAAGGACAAAGGTGCAGGACCGGGTTTTGCTTGAGATTGAGCGTCCGGATTGGATTGGAAGAGTTGGAGGGACCAACTGTTTACCGCCGACATGTTATGTCGAAGTTCTGTGAACGCATAATGGGCATAATGATAATGATAAACCTCACACCTCAATGACTCAAAATAGAAGTGTTTGAAGGCAATTCTTTTGGATAAAAAGGAAGCTCGGAAATGGTTCCTCTTGACCGAACAAGATAGCACGGGGATCAGTTGAGACTTGGCGGCTTTCTGCTTGGTTCCGTTTCTTTCGCACGTCAGGGTTGCACCAAAGAAAATAATTCAACGAAGGACGGGTAAACTCCGGTTCTATGGAAGAATGCCCAACACCTGCAGCAGTTTATCAGAAGGATTGATCGTTACCAAACATTTGCAAACACCAAGGATTCCAGGGGAACCAGGGTGGAGCAGGAAATTCTTGACACCAAAGGGCACCTTGTTATGTACATTGTTCCTTCATGTCAGCATTGGCATGCGTCCTTTTCTTCTCCACTGCCACGGAACGATCTCAGGTCTTTTGCATGGAGACTCCGCCTCAGTCCTAGCGCTCACGACTACGGCTCCGGCGCGGCGCATAGCCACGACGCTTGGCGGCGGTGACCCGCATGAATTGCCGCGCGACTTCGGCTGGATCATCGGCACCTTTGGCAAAGTCCCAATTCTTCCAACACTTCCTGGGTGGCATCTGGTCGCATCCAAATCCATGAGGAGTGTGGTGTTTTTGCAGGATAGCGAGTGGACACGAACCTCTGGGGACCCCAACTCGTTGGGTTTGGTAGTGCCCACATCTGTCGACCAACATCTTGGGGGGGGTTGTGAATGGTTTTGATTGGATTATGGAGGAGCTCTAAGCATCTCCAACTTGCTTTGGAAACTTCTGGGGTCTCCTTACTTGGCGGAGTGGGATATCCCAAAAGATCCCAAAAGTGTCATATTCATATGCGACTTCTTTTACTTGCCGTGAGCCTCAACATGCCTTAAAGCCTCAACATGCCTCAACTCCAACCTTTGGGGAGATGCTTCAACTTGAGTGGGGGGGGACTCCAAAGGGCTCCAAGCTTCTCAAAGCCACTGCCAGGAGCGTCATCCAACAAAGCTCGTTCGTCTCGGTCTCGGTCTTTAGGTCGAGTTGAAGTCCTCACCCGCGGCAGTTGCGCTTTCTCCTTCCGCTCCTCTGAAGTGTTCTGCACTTTGGCCTTCTCTTCTTCCTCGAAGTCATCGGCCGAGAGGGCAAAAACACCTCCCAGGTTCTTCCGCCGCTCGTTCTCCTGCTTCCGGCGCTTCTCCTGGGTTTCCTTCAAGAGCTGCAGCTGTCGTCTCTCTTCTTCAATCCTGCGAGCCTCTCGTGCCTGGGCTTCAGACCACTGATCCATCTCTGGAGAACGACTCAGCTGTCGTCTTGCTTCAGGCGATCGTGAGACCACTTTCCGCGGACTGGGACTCCGGGGACTCCGTGACGCCCTCGGCAGCACGTCGACCGGGACCGGCTCGCGGACCTCCTCGGGGGCCTCCGAGGGCTCCGACCCCGCGCGCGAGAGCGAGACAACCCGCTTCCGGCGACTCCTCGAGCGGCTGGGGCGAGCTGCTCGCGGGTGAGATGGAGAGGTCCTGTGGCAGGAGCTTTGGACCGAAGTAGAAGCCTTCAAAAGAGACCCCTTGGTTGACTGTAATCAAAAATGATTATAATATAGATGTATAGATATATATAGAGTACGATCAAGTTTCTATAGATGCATGTGGAATTGAATTAGACCAAACATGTATGCCCGCGTTCGTCCTCTTTTTCTTCTTGCTTTCCTTCTTCTGCGGCGCCTTGGATTCTGCCTTGGGCTTCGCCTTGCTCTTCGGTTTCCTTCGCACCACCTCCGCCCCCAGCATCGCCTCTCGTCCGACATTGGGGATGAGATGAGGCCCTTGGATGTGGTGGGTCAAGCCACCCGAACGAGCTCCAGGTAGCCGGCTCGACATGGCCAAGGGTGTTGGAGGAGGTGCGTGGCTGCGTGGAACTCAAGGGCCAAGGGTGAAAGGAAACCCCGGAGAGTGTAAATGACAGACTGTGAGACTTATGCATACATACTGCAAAGCCCTGCCATAACACACATCACCAGCATGATCAAGTCTTACATCATTTAGCATTTGTTATGCATTTTTGGAACTGCAGGTGAAAACATCATCTGAACTGAGTGCACGCCTTATAGCCTGATTTAAACATTATTCATGGCGCATGCCAGGACCTGAACCCCCCGCCGAATGAGGAATCTTGTCATCTTGTTGGGTCAGTCACCGCAATCCTCTGCAACCCAGTGGTTTTGAGAGCCCATGTCAATCTGCAGGGGGGGTGTCAAGAAGGCATGCAGGTTGTCCCTGATGTTTTCGTGCTGTCTATGATGTTGCACGGTTGCTTGAAAACACTCTCCATGACCAGTCTGAGCCCGCTCCGGCAAGTGCAAATCAGGAAGTACAACTCGCATTGCAAATCGTACTAGTTTCACTGCTCTGAGAGTCGAGGCACACCCATCTCCCACAGTTCGAAGCCTCTACACCAAGCCAATTTCGGTGCCCCCGACAAACACTTCTGATCAATTTTGCAGGCTCATCTCAGCACCACCTCCAGAGGTGCATCGGATCGCAGCCTTTAAGGCCCCCGGCGATCGGAAAATCCGATGAGTTGTTGTGCGAATGAAGGATGAATCAAGGACATCTCCAAACAAAACGCCCTCGATCAAAGCCCTTCGTTCGGCGCCACATGGAGTCGTTTTCGTGCATAACCACGGCAAGCTCTTGATATTCTCTAGATCATTCTAGATCTATAGATATCGAAGTGTTTTCTTTGCCAGTTTCAAGATGCTTCAAGTTTGGGACTTCAGCCAGATCCCCTTGGATCAAAACGAAAGCCCTTGTGCAAATCATGTGAAGCATGTGTAACTATGTGTAACTAAGTCAGTAAAAAGGTTACAGTATACCAATGTATACCATCTTAAGCCATTTAGCAAGTCTGGCGCGATCACCGCTAGCTCACACCTCTGTGCCACTTCATCACTGAATCCTGCGTCCGAGCGCAATACCAAGGCCATGCTCAAATCACCAAAGTGTTGCTCTCCCGCCACCTGGCAATGGTTGCTGGATCGTTCACCAATGCCGTGGTTCGACATGGTTGGGTCAGGAGGGGTTGCAGCTGCCGAATGTCTTCCTTCAGCAGCACCATTTGCGCAACCCCCATGTACAACCACATGAGGAATATGGTGGCACCCAAGCTCAATTCAAACAACTACAGAACTTGGCTGGAGGTCAGGAGAGTGTGGCTTAGCAGCTTTGCATCTTCTATGTAGGTGAAGACCTGACCACAAGTATCCACAAGTGTCAGCCATTGGAAACGGCGCCACGATCTATTTAAGACATTTCATCTAGACCTGCACAGAATCACTCTTGGCTAAACCCTCGTCCAGTCCTCGTGAGGGCCGGGTCTATCACCCAGTCCCCGCCCTTGCGCCGTCCGAGTTCAGGTCACTGGCTACCATCTAGGGCGCTCTGTACTATATCAAATGTACATGCTTAATTGGTGGACTTGGTCTCTTTGGGTTTCAAAAGCTCTGTTCTGTTCAAAAGCTCTGTCAGGTCACTGGTTCAGCTCTGTTGGTCTCTTTGGGTTTCTGATCCTCCAAGAAGTTCCGCACCCACCGCGCCGCGCCGGGCGCCTCGCCATGAAGCTCTGCCAGTTCCGCTGCCAGCGCTGCAAGGCCTCGGTCTTCTCCTTGGGTGCCAGGCCGCTGTAGGCGATCCTCAGGATGCGGCGGATTGAATGGCGCGTAGATAGGTCACCGGAGGTAGTGCGGGAAGCGAGAGAACACACAGGGCACTACTATACGGGTATCCTCTGATGAGGAAGGATTTGTGCGTCTGAAGGGTTTGGATTGTAGGTGCAGGAACTCCTAACACGGAGTGACTCAACCACGATTGTAGTAAGGATGCTAGAATATCTAGAATTGGCATGTGAGTCCGTTAGCGCCTTAGTCAACATACCCTAGGGCTCCAACCATATCAAGCACGGAATCAATTCAATTCCTCGATCCATCATGCACACATATGCACACTCAATACCAGAACCTGCCTTTCACCTGAGCCTTTTCACCTTTTTGTGACAAAATGTCCTGGGAAGATCTCAAGTTCGGTCGCTTTGAAGGTCCTGTTGAGCAGCAACTCAGAGATGCCTTTCAACCCAAGCCTCGAGTTCCGTGCCAACGTCTTCAGCGCTCGCGTGTTCAGCTGCCAGGCCACCGCCACCTCTGTCTTCAGTGCAAGGGAAGGGTCGAGCTTAGCCGGGCAGGCGGGTCGCATCCATCGTCACACAGTGTGTGATGCACAGTGTTGAGATGTGACTAGAAGAGACCAAAGTGATTTTGCATGATTCGGCCATGCTGAGGATATCCTGTCCACCTGCCAGTGCCTGATCCTTTCAGATCGTTCCATGTTGCACCGCATCCAAATCGACCAAAACCCGCGCCACAGGAGTCGTCTCTGCCGCGCCAGAACGTCCTCTTCCCTTTCCGCGAGCAAACCCTCGCGAGCTCGCGCACGAAGGTCGCCCTCGCGCCTCCCAGAAGTCATGGGACAAGCCTCGAGCGCCCCAGATGCCCGGATCGTCCGAGGAGATGGTGACAGGGAGTCCCATCTTCAGCATCTGAAGGCCCGGGTGGATTCGCAGGTCGCTCAGGTAGCGCAAGACCTGGTTGCCTCGTCGTGACCGGCGGATGAGGATGAGGCGGGAAAATAACAACGGCGCAGGACGGACGGGGAGGGCGGAGGATGTGAGGGACGACCGTGGATGAGAGGTATAGATGAAGGTGGGGCGAAGGATGGGGAGAAGAAGATGTTGGGCTCCTAGAACAAGCAGGTGGACAACAGAAAGGCGAGTAAAGACTGAAATCACTGCTTGCCAATGGCCAAGCTTGTTTCAAACTTAACTTGTAGTCTGCAGCTTCCTTTCCAATCACCCTGAAGGACCTGAGGGCTTCTCCAAAAAACAAAACGGACAAATACAAGGATACAAATCCCAAACACTCCATGGGACTGGCATATTTACATACATTGACCCCCAAAACCACCTCAACTGATCGGCAGTCCTATGGCAGTCCCAGACTCAGACAGGTCGCGGTCCGTCGACGCTGCCGCTCGCCCCCTCAACGCCCCTCTCATGCCCAAGGTGCTAATGGGGCAAACCTCAATCGCAACGCCATCCTCGCGAACCTCCGCACTGGTGGGGGGGAGCAGTTCACCGTCGCGGCGAATGAGAAGACAGTGGCTGTCGCCCCTGAACAATGAGGTTGATACTCTTGGCCTCTTGATTTGCTGCTGCAATGCACTTTCTAGCGAGCTAGCAGTGTGTTGATGGGACTGCCTCCACTGGCCGCTGCGTCATCTATTTTGCATGTCACAGTGCCAGGATCCTCGCGCCATGGCCATGCCCCCGCGCCCGCCTTCTCCATGAGCAACGGGTGACGTACGATGTTGAAGCCATGTCCTAGACCTCATCTTGAAAGCAAACCAGCTGCAAAGGCACTTGACACCCAAGAATCAAACAGTTCAAAGGCAAAGGCGGCAGTACCGGTGGAGGTGTTGCAGAGTTTGGATGGTAGGGAGACTCACCCTAATTGGAATTCATGCAAGTCAAAGAGTGCAATTGACCTGCTTGATTTCAAGCATGGCCTGAAGCAATGGAGGCTTCACTGGGGCAATGATGGAAATACTGTTAAATACGGTAAGTGCATATTAATGGACATGAGTTGGTTACAAAACACTCTTGCACAGTGAACTTGACAGTTCCGGTTGCAAACCAAACTAGTAAGCACACCCGTTCAAATTCAAATACATGCCGTATACATGCTTCCTACCTCCTACCCATGTAAATTATTTCAGAGGTTAAGATATGTTAAAATGCATACTGTAATCCTATAATATCGCGTATATAGTCTAGTCCTATATCGGGGCGATTATAGTCTAGTCCTATATCCGGGCGATTATAGTCTAGTGGCGATTATAGTCTAGTCTAGTCCTATATCTGGGCGATGCTATGCCAGTTCAAGCTTGGCAGCCAAGACACGCTTGGCGCCCAGCAGGACCGCGTCCACCGTGTTCATGGTGGACCAGTCGCTCTGGTGCGCAGGCATGCCACGCAGGTGGCCAAGTGAATGATGGCGAATGTCTGGGAGGGTAGCTATAACGCAAACAAACTACAAGACCTACCAGGTTCTTCTAGTTAGGAACCTACACTAATTACGGCACACCTGCCGCACTGCCAAAAAAAACAAAGAAGCACCAACAATCAACAATCTTGAGGAATTCATGAAACAAAGTCACTGGCCTTCAGGCACGGCTCCGAGTTTCCAAACATAAGCAGTACTCGATGATTGTACACCTACAGTGTCGGTCTTCAGACTTACTCGAGTTCTGCCTTCACAAAGCATCGGGGGACCGCATGTAGGCTCCTCCCCGAGGACACTCCCGGACTCCTCACATAGACCCTCTCAATGGTCCCATGGAAGACGATTTTCCTCTACCCATGTGAGTCTTCCAGGGTGTAGTCAGGCTCACTTCGCATGGATTGCAAATGGATCTTCACCTGTCGGCCGTACACCCACCCACCCACCCAGCGTCGCCTCACCATCATGCAGCATCAGTGGCAGTTCGAGGCCGGCTTTCGCCTGCTTCTTCAGCTCCTTAGCGGAACGAAGCGGTGGCATCGTGCGGTCCGTGGATCTGGATGCATCTGGAAGTGGAAGGTCAATACACCCCAGGCACTACCCCAGGCCTCCAACTACCTCCTGAGGTTCGGTGGTTGGGGTGGGTGCCATGGGGGTCTAACTACTAACCACCGAACCTCAGGAGGTAGTTGGAGGTTTAGGGACAGGTCAATACAGAATCACACCTGCACCGGTCACGTGGACCCTTGATATCCCTTGATATCCCAACTCCCCCCATGTTCATGGATTGTAAGACATCCTGTGATGGTCGGAATGACCCTGAACTGTATGGAGTTGAAGCACTTGGAAGCAAGAGCGGAACTGCAATGGATGATGGTTTTGACGGCCCAGCTTCTAGATGATTCACGTCACAGGGCGGAACCTTTGAACTGTTACGTCTTCGAAAGCAAGTCAGGCGAGTAGGTCAGAGCCAAAACATCAAACATGCCGGAATCATAAATTATACAACTGAACTTACCACAGCAAGCAATTGCAAACAACAAAGTGCAAAACAAAATCCCCAAGCCTCCCCAAGCCTCCCATGCGTTTGACACGACACCACCAGACACAACCCACCTCTTCACCCTAAACCTCTCTAACCCACCTCTTCCCCCTTCCCTCCAAGCTGCTAACAGCTGACGTGCATAGTCCAAGGTGGGATGTCCCGCATCTTCCTCACCCGGAGCATCCCAACCCACCAGTAGGTCGGGACGCTGAGCCTTCACCTGGACTGGCGGAGGGAGTCTTGGGGGTCTTGGTCTTCTGAACTGGAGTGCCACTCCCCCGTCCCGCTGGTGCAGCTTGAGCATTTTGGGATGGGAGGTGTTTGTAATTGTTCCGCATGCAACTTAGAATCGCTCCAGATATCCAAAGAAAGCACCGCCATAGCGGTTTGGTACCAAGCAATTACCAGAGTCGCTCCAATGCCCCTGGGTTCCACCGACCTCGCCTCCAAAGCGAAAGCCAAATCTTCGGCAATCACCTGTGGGCTTCGCATGCGGATGCTGGTGCCGATGAGCTTCACGGTGAGCTCTGGATGTCGGACTTGCCTGGGCGACCAGGGCGACTGACCGACGTGGTCGCACCAGCTGGTTCAAAAGAGGTTGTGGACTGTGACCTGACGTAGGAGCCCCTGGGGTCTTGGGGTAGCCAACTGGGATAGTCATCGATAGTCTACAGATGTCTATAGGCTATAGCTGGCTTCTGGAGTTCTTCAACCTCTGTTGGGTGTTCCGGTGCTGCCTGCTGGGGGAGACGCAGCACTGGCTAGGAGCGAAGGACAGTCAAAGGTTAGGGTGGAACTCATCCCTGAGCCCTTAATGGCACCGCATGGAAAGCAAAATGCCATCAAATGCAAGTCGATGACCATTCACTGTCAACAAGTTCTGCGCCCTCCAGGCTGCATCTTTTGGATCTGTTTCTGGTACACATCCAGGGCAGCTGCTCCTGCCACCGTCGGATGCCGACATACGTTCCACTGATTCGGTCCCAACATCAGTGCCAAAGTGCCTGCTCCTGGCCCATGACTGCCCATAACCCTGGGCACCCTGAGCCTTTTTGGTTGTCTGCTTAAACTGTGGTCCAGTGACGCTGGGACAAGCAAGTCTCTCCAGAGTCTGGGCACAGCCCAAAACAAATCGCCAACGACTTTTTTGGCTTCGACAATGCAGTCAACCGCACATGTAAGTTTAGTTCACCGCAAATCAACATTACATGTGTCCGAAAAGGAACGGTTGATGACATGGGGGACCTCCATGTATAGAACTCAATTCGACGGCGTACTGGGTTTTTTGGGATTTGGCCGAAGCTTCCCCTCAGCCATGTCCAGCCCCCGGTCCTCGGTATTCCCGCCCGTCGAGGTCAAAGAGAAAGCCCTGGTCGTGGAATAAATCAACACCTCGGCTTGGGGTGGCTGGAGCTATGCTTGGCTGCTAGGAGCTGCTAGGAAGACATGGGTACGTGATGGTACGTGCTAGTGCCGGTTGATTTCTTTGCCTTTTGGCTTCTATAAGAGGTTGATGGAAAATCAAAGAGCTCAAAGGACTAGGTCCTAGGGGTCACATCTCCCTGCGGAGTAAACTCCGTGAAAAGAATCATGGAAGTGGAACATGGCCGCGTGAATGACCACTTTCCTCTTCCTAGGGATCCAAGTACCTTCTCAGAAGGTGATTGGAGACACTCTTATGTGGGTTTTGAGGGTCCAAAGGGTCCACAACAGGTTGTTTTCTCCACTTCCATGTTAGTGAGCCGGAGTGTGCTGACCAGCTGGTGTTCCAGTGCTGCTTGGGTCCAGCATGAAAAAAGAGCCAGTCACTGCCAAGCCGTGGGGCAGGGAGGGAGGGAGAGAGGATTGCAGCCCAGGTGGCGGAATTCCAAGTGCGTCACTCCATCCTCCAAGAACTCCAGCATCGTCGCCCAGAAGTATCCCTCCAGTGCCTGGTGCTAAGGCTAAGGACGGACTCATAGGACAAGGTACACCGAGGCAAACTGCTTGCACTGCATGAGTGCATGTCTGCATGTCAATCAGTCAATCAATATGTTGAAGACTTACAGTATATATGTGTGAACTTATTTGAACATAATGTATCTTTGGACTTGGGAACCTCCAATCTCGATACAATTCCTTGCAATGTCAAACGCAGGTTGAGCTGAAATGGAGCGAAACCAAAAATAAGCAAGAGAAGGCCTCTCGGTAAGTGAAGAAGCCTGCGACACGGATGAAAATGTCCTCAGTCTGGCAATGCCGCTGCCGATTGGTCTCCCTGCAGATGGAAGACAGGCCTCGACTACACTAACCCTTGGTTGAGTAAAGTCCTCTGCATTCTTGCTGACCTTCTGTGGAAAACGTTTAAGCGAGACAAACACCAGCAACCTCTGTCTGGTCTTTGGTCCTTGCGATTAAGATTCTGAGCTTGATGAATGCAAACAAATCCATCCAAATCCCTGCATGGATCATCTCTTGCAAGAACTTCCTGAAACATGTTCCACACTAAAGTTGCAAGCAGTCATGAAGCTGTATATTTTTCTAGCTACATAACGATCATAACAAGCGTATATTAGTTGAAAAATGTTGAGCAGCTATAAATTGCATGAGCCCCGGTTTTCCATGGTTTTCCACCATGAGATCTACGCGCCCGGTTCCTCTAATTATTACCGATCTCAAGGGCAAGACAAACGCCGGATCGCTGGGCGCCGGTGGCCCCTTGTTATGGAACCGGGCGAACGGATGCGAACAGCATGGACCGTTGAAAAGACGATGTTCCTTGACAAACCGGGCGTGGTGAACTCAGGTTCGGTCTCGGAACCCGGGCGTCTCCCAAACACGACCGGACTGGCAGATTCACTGACGGTGGACGTGGACGTGGGGGGTCGGCAAGGGCGGCATATCTTCCAGTCCGATATGCCTGGGATTGCCTGGGTATGGTCTCAACAATTCCGTTGAGCAGAAGACCTGGCCAGCATTTTCTCACACGGCAGCCTCAGTACGATAGCGTGACTCCACATACAGGTCAAGGAGCACCTTCTTCACCAGAAGTTGCCAGGCACCCCTCAAGCGTTCAAGGCGTTTGGCCTTTTGCAACTCGAGCAGCTTGAGCTTCTCTTCCTCGGCCGCTTCGCGCAAATCGGCTTCGTCTCGCGCCCAAACAATGCATCCACCGAAGACGGGCTTGAGTTGTCCACCTTCCTTGCGGAAATCGATCACTGCCGGTGCAAATTCCACCCCAATTCTGAGTGCAGCCATTCGAGCAGCTTCATCATGCACATGAACGGTGCCAGGAGGAATGCCCTGTCGAACCTCGATGTTCCCATAGTTATTGACACCTGGAATTGGACCACCAACAACAGGTTCCTTGATGCTTTCTCTTGGCAACTCTTCAGTCTGCCACCTGCCAAAGAGTTTTGAAGAAAACATGGAGTCCCTGCGCAGGACCTTCATTGGCCGCTCATCGTCCCGCACCAAACGCCCCTGTTGGCGCCACGCTGCCGCAGTGCGCAGATCCGACACATCCTCGCGGCGCCAAATGGACTCCTTCCCTTGAAAGAGTCCCACCGCTTTGGCTTTGGCATCCACCCATTGATCCTGCCGAAGCTGCGAATCCAGAATGTAGACGCGATGAAACTTGAACTGAGCCTTCGAAGTGGGAAGAGGCTCTTGCTGAGCAAGCTGAAGCAGCCATTGTCGATCCAATTCATTGGCTCGTGAAGTAGCAGCATCGGCTTCCACATCAGTGGCACCACATCTGCTCGCTTCGAGAAGTTCCGTCCAAACCTTCGCAAGAGATCCTCGTGCCTCGAGCATGTTGCTCCAACGACCATAGCGAGCCGTCACGTCCCAGAGATCTCCTCCAGTTCCCATGGCAAAGATCCAAACGCTGCTAGGACCGCCTGAAGGCACCCCTAAAGCTCGCCAACGACTCACGGACTCATCGAAGACCTCAGCCCACATGGACAACTCTGGTAAAGCTTCGCCTTTCAAAAGGCTTCCACACTTCTTCGCAGCTGGCAAAGGCAAGGCCAAAGCCAAACGAGCTGGTCTCCGCTCTGCACGGCAGCGCGCCACCAATAACAAGGCCAAATCCAAGGATGTGGCCTTGCCATGGAGCGATCCTAAGAGGCGCCAAAGGGAGAGCGGACCAGGTGAAGAGGACCCGGAAGCGAGTCTTCCGGACGCAAGCTCGTCCTTAAGCCTTCGCAAGCTCGTCTTCACACCATCATCCAGGCACGCCGGCACCTGTGATAGAAGAGCGCCTTGTAGAAGTTCGTTGTTGCACAGGCCGTTCAACCAAATAAGCCGGGCGAGAAATGAAGAAACAAGAACTCTGTACTGAAGAACTGATTGTTGACGTAGTTCCTTCCATTGCTTCCTGTTGTTCAACCTCTGCTCCTTGGCGCCCGTCTCTTGGCTTGGCTCTTGGTCTCCGGAATTGCTTGCCGTTGCTTCCGCTGAAGCTCCCTCAACCTCCGAGCTGACAGGCTTTGAGGATGTCTCAAAGTCTTCCTTCAAGGCCTCGCCCAGGTCGCACCAATCAATGTCTTCAAACTCATCTCTTTCTTCGACCTGGCCAGAGATGCCACCCACCTCTTCTAACAAGAACGAATGCAAGTCATTGCCATCCTCAGGAATCCAGTTCATGGCGTCTGTGAGGGTCCTGTGGCCCCAGGGCCCAAGCAAGCTTTTGAAGATCTGTGAAGTACAATATGCTGATCGAACTTCTACAAGATCTTTATATAGAAGCCATATACTTTGAAGATATTTGAAGATCTGAAGTCCAATATGTTGATGTTCTACAAGTAGAAGCTCATGCCATCATTAGGTTGCTAGTTCAAGAAGCCTGCAGGTAAGTCTGTAGGACGGTGTGTTACATGTGGTCGTCTCCTGATCAGCTTCAACTATACACTGCAGATCCAGTCTGACCCAGTAATAAAACCTGGTCCTTACCTCATTTGAGTAGTGATTTTGTATGATAAACTCGAGTAAAATGAGGTCAAGAACTGACCTGTATAGGAGAATATCCTGGCACATTGAGCCCAACTTGTCGTCTTCAGCCGTTCGGAACACCAAGCACCGTGTCGTTAGAAACCGCTCAAACATGGTGAAGGCTTGGAAAGCTATTGTCTTCTGCATGAACTGGTTTGGGGATCCATCTTAGCCGTAGCTCGGTCCGCATGAGGAGGTAGCTAGCCCATCCTACTGGCACGCCTGGCTTGAACATGTTGTAGTGACTTTGGATGTAGTGTGACCTTGCTACTTGCAAGGGCCAGCCACTTTCCATTGACAAAACTAAACAAAACTTTTTGGAGTGGTTGTCGAGTCGTCTTGACGCCACTTTACCATCAAACTTTATAGCATGATGTCACGTTCAATCAAGTCTACACCGCTGACTCCTGCTGATCAGGAATATGGTGGGTATGGTGGGTGAATGTGTTGGCGTCAGTACTTGCGTCAGCATGCTTCCCCACCGAGAGCTCAGCGAGATGAAACTGTTTCTTAACGTCTTTGCAATCTGTCTTGATGAGGGCTCGAATGGAAGCTTCACCCTCTGCACTGGCTCCAGGAAACTCCGCGGAGGGGGGGGGGGGGGTTTGGGCTCCGACCACGAAGCTCAAAAGCTGGACTACAGCTGCCTAACAGAAGCTGAGCATCGGCGAACTTCTTCCAAATCTCTGCCGAGGTCAGCGATTCATCCTGCACATGTCATGCTTGCACAAGGCACGGATTATGGATTTGTGGGTGAGGTGAGCCTTGAAAAAAAGGTCTGATGGGAGCCTCTCTCATGTAATTAGATGGGTTTGTGTAGTGTGAAGACTTCCATTGTTCACAGTGCATCTGGGATTATTGCTGACACTCCTTGGATGGTCCTGGAATGTGTATCTTAGATTTCCTTAAGAAATAAATATATTCCCCACAATGAATTTCACCAAAGTTGATAGAGTTCAACTCATATTCCGTGTGCCACCAGGCTCCACCAAAGCCTTGGTTTTGAATTCCATCGATCGCCCCGTCGGCCGGTGGCCTCTTCATGCACTGTCAGCAACTTCAGAAGCTTCTGTGGAAAGTCTTTATCCTTCTGGATCCTCAGCTTGAACTGTTGAGGCCAAAAGGAAGCCGCCGATTTCAAGGCCAAGACGAGGCCCATGAGCGTTCATGTTCAACGACTCTCGTGCAGAATGTGATATATAACTGCATTATAAACCCCCCTGAGGTGAAGGTGGTGAGGGTGGGTGGGATTAACCACCGAACCTGAGGATATGGGCCGGGAGCCCTAGGGAAACATCTATATATAAATCTAAATCTTCACTTCAGAGACTGCACACCGTGGTAGGCTCAGCTGGCTCCTCCTGGGTCGAATCTCTCTGAAACCATTTGGTCCAAGCATTGGTTCTTCAAGGAGGTGCCATATATGGAGCCCCAACCAAAGACTAAAGTGACTAAAGACTTTCGTATTCTCATATAGTAATTTGTGTGTCCTGGACGGTCAACTAATCTTTGGAGCCCATACAAGCCAAGAATCAGTTCCTTTGCTGGAAAATAGCCCGCTTTCTTCTCCTTCATGGTAGCGGTCTGTGCACAAACTCAACGCCCAAACATGATGACCCCACCAAACTTTGGGATGGTCCAGGCACACGTGCAATTTCTTGGATGAGGTGTCAAACCAGCCAAGACCATTTGTACATCACAAAACGATAAAGCTATGGCTTCCAGCAGCACGAAGCCATCTGTCGCTACTCCACCGTTGGAACCCGGGAGCCATCCATAGAGCATTTTATGAACAAAAAAAGAAGACCTTTGGAGCTAGACTGTCAACATCTCTAATCCCTTCATCCGTCGTAGTCCGAAAACGGCCTGCGCATGCACCGAGTGTGTTTGATCGGGAATTCCACCATCGCAGTCCGTCACCCGTCGTGGCAGGAAATCTCAAACGGGTGGTCTGCATGCAATTTGGGAGGCTTGAGGGCCCACAGCAGGAGAGGATGTGGGTCAACATCCCACCATTGTAAGCTACAGCACGTGGGTGCCAGGTGCACAGCCTGGGGTCCAGCAGTCTGCAGGCTGGACTTGACCCTCGGGCTGCTGCTTGAAAAAAGAAGAAGTTACAAGCAGTAAATCAAGCCTGGAGTCCAATTAGAAACCGTCTCTCCGCAGGTTACTCTCGGGCCGTTTCCTAGAAACCCATATATTCAAAGGAAATCAATGAAGTACCAACTCAGAAGGTGATGTGTTCGACACTGTTATGTCGTTTTGGAGGTTCCAGTCGTAGCTTAGAAGATACGAAAACGGAATCCCGGCAAGCAAGAGTTGCCAAACTGAGATCCACAAAAAGTGGATCAACAAAAGGTGGTGTGTAAATGAAGTCAACCGAACTTCCCACGCTGTTGGTGTTGTCCTACGGGGGAATCGCTGGTGACCTACGGAGCCCGTCACCTTCGCTTCGCCGGGCGCGACAGCGACAGGCGCGGGGCGCCTGTGTGGCGTTGTAGAAGGCCAAGGAGCCCAGTGGTGGATCATCTGCACCTCAAGGTGTGTGCTCCCCTCCTGGGTGCAGCCTGGTGTGTCAAAGAGGATGCTTGGAGGTTTTGCCTTGGGAAGGGGTGGGTTTGTGGAAGGAAGCATGCTTCACAAGAAAACGGACGGAGCCTAGTCTTGTACTCCAAATACCCAGTATCAAAGCCTGGTGAGCAAAAGACCGTAGGAATGAGAGCAGGGAAACAACATTCAATGACGGGCAAAGGGGGCATGAGGCATTTCCAACAACTTAAGAAACAATTGTGACCATGAACAGCATGAGACATGAGAAACAAAGAAAAAAGGCCAACAACTTCTGCCATTTGTTTAATTGCTGGGTCATGAGGACATAAAGGATTGCAACTCCAGCACAGTCAAAGGTACAGTCGTTTAAGCGATGCCCCCTGCCCCATCTAATTCTATGTTACTATAATCCTTGCAGTAGTTTCAGAGTAAATGGCACAATCCCCAAGTTCGGTGGTTTATATGGACCCCCATATAGGAGACATCTTTGGGTTTGTGCATGTTTGTGCCATCGTAAATATGCAATCTTGCCTTTCGGAAGTGTCTTGGAGATCTCCTCATTCGAGACCTCTAAAGATCTTGATTAATAAACCCTCCGCTAGGGATCCAAGTACCTTCTCAGAAGGCACCTGGACCCTCCAAACCCACCCCAAACACCTTCTGAGAATACTTGGATCGTTAGGGCTCTTAGACATGGATTACAAAACACTATAAACCTCTTTTTCTATAGAGGTTGAAATGTCCCATTCAGATCTTCTAGGTAGATTCATGGCTTCCGGCTCTGGACCAACCTCTCCGCCAAGAGACTCGTGGTGTTCGGCCAGAAAACGTAGCAACCCGGCAGATCAAGGCCTTCAGAACAGTCGAGAGCCTTTTAGGGTCTCTTGCGGGGCGGATTGACCAGCGAAGGCATCAAGTAGTGGTGGATAACCCAACAGATTGGCTCACCAGAATCAGGTGCCTGCAATGACTAAAGTGGATAAGAAAACCAGTTACAGTTAGAGTAAGTTCAGGATCCTTCTGTATAAGTTTGCCTGAATCAGAAGCATAGACTCTATTGACCGGTAGACACGTGCAGCCAGTCGGCCAGCCGGCCAGCCGTGAGCGACATGCAATGCGGAATTCAAAAGTACAAAAGTATCAAGCACACATTATTCCCCAATCTGTACACAATAATATAATATATATATATATACACATATAGAAAACTATTTCCACATAGTCAAATATTATGAGGGATGGCTTGCAGGTTGTTGCCAGAACACCGAAAGAGTCATGAACCTCATGGGCTCGCCTCATGTGCATAATTCCCCCCTAAGCATCGCCCACCACCACTCCCTCCACCTATGTTCCACAAAGTGGATCTCAGTTTGACAATTCTTACTTGCTGAATTCATCCAAAAGTGTCAACCTTCTCCCTCATGTCAACCCGGACGCTCACATCAACCCGCCAATCCCCAACGCGCGTGCCCGTGCTACTGAGCGTACCTTGATTCACCACCCAGGTCATGGAAAAGGACGCTGAGACGTGCAAGTGCAATGCTCCACCCTTGGGCATCTGCCGCAGCACCTGAGTGCTGATACCGAGACGCCTCGGAAAGCTCAACTGGGAAAGCCAACGAATCACGGGTCGCACCTTGTAGAGCGTTGTGTTCTCAATGAGTGCGCGAACACGCCTTCGCAAGGCGCGGGCGGCATGCCATTCATCAAAGTCATGGTTCCCCGCCGGCACATGTCTATCACAGCGACTCCGGTGCAAGAGATTCATCTAGACATGACGACTGCTTAGCAATTAATACTATCCAACCACAATTCAGCACATGGATACATAGAAAAAGGGTTGCAAATGGACACAGCTTACAGTAACTAGCTTCTTTGTCTTTTCATTCTGAGAGCCACTGAGAGCTGAGCGGGAAATAGGTGGATGGAAGAAAACGGTCGACCAAGCGCTGCTTCCTGAGCAAGAGTTCAATGGGGAAAAGGAAATAGCGCGGCCCAAGAAAAGCCAACCAACAAGCCAAGCATTGCCAAGCACCCACAAAGCAACAGTTGCCATAAGCTAACCATAAGCTGTAAAGCACTTCATCCAGGGAATATGTACCTGCATTGGTCCCTAAGCCTACAACCATCCCAATTTGCCAATGTAGGTACGTATGCCATATACGTGGAGTGTTTGGGGTCGTTTAAAGGTCTCAGCACGAATCCGGAACCAATCTCGTAAAGGATTGTGGGGAATTGTCGAAGGTCTGACACCACTGACACCAGCCGCCCACTGACTATGCTTCTCAAGGCCAGCAAGTCTGAGGCCCAAAGGATGAACCTGCTGGAGATTCCAAAGCCTGCGTATATCCCGCCTACACCTCCAACCACTCCTGAGAAGGTGGTTAGGGTGGCAAACGTTGAGTCCTTTAGGCTGTGATGCAACGTGAAAGAGTTCAAACGTGAAGTTACTTTACACTAAGTCTAATAGTTAACAACATATAGGAAACCAATAATTATAGCAAACCAAGACTTAAACCAATTGTTTCGATATGTTTCGATCAAAGAAATCCTACTAATGACGCACACCCTGCCAGCTCTTCTGTTCCACCCAGATTCTTGTACTGCTGAATCATCTCTTGCACCGTGGATCCGAGCCAATGGTCAAATGCTGCTTCGTCCTGTGTCCGGTGACCAGACGGATGGAACTGGATGGACCATCAGCGTGACTGGACGAACATGAACTACCGCACCTGGCTGTCATACTCTGTCCCTGGCTACAGGGTAGTGAAAATGAGTCATGACTGGACCCTCAGGGCTAATAGCACCCTAGGGCTCCAACATGCTCCAACCATATCCTCAGAAGGTGGCTAACCCCCCCCCAAACCCATCCAAACCACCTTCTCAGGAGGTGGGCCAGGAGCCCTAGGGGCATGAGGATCTGCCGAAAAGGCCAAGGGCCTGGCACGTTCCCAAACATCGCCAAAGCGACCCGCACAAGCATCGGAACACTGGTCACTGGAGGAAGACCTTCGATTCATTGGCCAATTCCGTAGGACTTGGGGGAGTCGTGCCTGGTGGCACCCAACACTGACAACCCCCGTCTTCCCCAAGAAGAACACTCTTGTTTTCGTGGGCTTGTCGACACTTCTGGAGCACCCAGTTCCTCAGTCAAGTTGGTGCCCGCGCCATCCACCAAGGCATCTTCATGCTTCAGGAACCTGGGAGCATGAAAGGAGGTCCACAGCAGAGTTCTTGGCTTCATGCTCCTGCCCACCCACACATCCCAAAAAAGAACACAAAACTCGTCAAAGCTGGCTCCTACCGACACAGCTCACCCACCCAAGCTCACCTCACCTCACCACTAGGACAAAAGATGTTCATCTTGAAGGATCCAAATGGCTCCAATGTCATCCCTCCAAGGCTTTAGAAGATTCAATAGAGAGTGCTGAGCTTGACCATCTCACACTGGCTATGCGAAATGGACTTCTTAATTCCACCGTGGCTGATCCACTTAGATTTTATTTATTATAAGACCCGGTCAGAAAAAGAAAAACAAATCCTTCTGAAGTATCCATCTGAAACCCATGTCGAGTCCCAACATGCAATCCACTTGATTTCGGATTGTTGCGAGGCACGCCGCACGGGTCTTCAGATACTCCGCCAGGTCTTCCGAGGCCAAGGCAGCACGAGGCCCAGGCGCGAACACCACCAGGGCGAGGAAGCACAGCACATGGGAGGTCATGGCTGCAAAGACTGTTCCAGCCTACTGCAACGGCTACGGCTAGAGCTATCAGTAGGAAAACAACATGTGACTCATGTGACATGAAATCATAATCTAGAGAAAGTTGAAAAGCAACATGTAGTGTATACATGTGCTCAACGAATGTTGAAGCTGCTCTCAACACATAACTGCGCCTTATGTGTCAGCTGGCTCAAATGTAAGCTTCACAAAGCGCACAAGATTTATGTCCTCTTCGATGTGCTTGCGCCATACATGTGGTCACTGCCAAAGTCTTACCCAACAAACTCTCCCAATCCACACTCAACATGCACTCTGCAGCCCTAACCAAGCCGAGTCTGCAGGCCTCTCGTTGCTCGCAACCTTCACCCATGGAGCCCCTATCACCCAATCACCCATGATGGGGCTCTTGCTTCGGACCTGCCACCGAGCACTTTTGATCGCATGCTCCATCCGAGCGCGTCCATCCGAGCGCGTCCCGATCCACGGCGAGGTTCGAAGCTGTGACCAGCAGCTGTTCACGGCGCGTTCCCGCTGCGACTCGCGACGAAAAGGCGCCGCCTTGGCCACCAGTCTGGTGTTAAGGCACCATGTGGACGACCTACTGAGGGGTGTTCTGTGGGCACTGTGTGTCGCACCATTCCTTTTCGCAGCCACCGGGGCAGCACCGCGCGGACGACGGAGCAACTCCGTGGCTCGGCGGCTGCTGCGTGGCACTTTCTGGGGGAATCCAACCGCAACAAAGCTCGCTGGTAGCACTGCCTTCTTGAGTTTCTTGGTCTCACCTCGGGAAGCAAACATCTGGGGCAGAAAAACAGAAACCAGTCAAACTCAGTCTGGAAAGAAGACAAGTTGCACAGCTGAAAAGTGTAGGGTTGAAGCAACCATGCTAGCACCAACTCTTGGCACACGAAAACAATCTGTGCAAAAGCTCTGCCAATCGCACGATTTTGTCAACAGCACCACGCACCCCGCAGCATGGGCAAGTTTCTCTTTGTTACATCAAGGGTTTTGAGGGAACGGAAACGCGTTGAGTCCCAGGCGTTGAAAAAAGTTCAAGGCCGCCAGACGTACATCTGTGGTATCCCAGTCCTTGCGAGATTTTCCGTAACCGGTGATGATGATACAAGTCAGTGGGTCGCTGCTCTCCAAGTCTCGGGCGACTGCATTGGACAACCAATACCGCAAAGCAAGCAAATCAGTTCCTTCCGAAAGGTCATGCAGGTCAATTTTGGAAGATCCACATGCTCGCAGTGTCCGAACCACTTGAAGGTTGCATTGCAGAAACAACTGCCTACCAATCTCGCCAGAATGAACCGCGGCGCTCTGCAACAAAGCATTGTAAGTAACTAAATTTGGCGACACGTTCTGCTTCGACATGGCCTCAAACAACCTCAATGCATGCTGCCATTGACTGCCCTTCTCACACGCGCTGATGGTGGAGTTGAAGCTGATGACATCAGGCTGGACCTTTGCCTGGGGCATGGCATCAAACAACTTCAATGCCTGCTGCCATTGACCGCCCTTCTCACATGCGCTGATGGCGGCACTGTAGCTGATGACATCAGGCTGAACCTTTGCCTTTAGCAGGGCATAAAACAACTCCAATGCTTGCTGCCATTCACCGCCCTTCTCACATGCGCTAATGGCGGAATTGAAGCTGATGACATTAGGCTGAACCTTTGCCTGGGGAATGGCATCAAACAACTTCAATGCTTGCTGCCACTGACTTTCGGTAGCAAATCGAAGCCTCCGCTTCGTGAAGACAGCCGCACCACAGCAGCCTTTTCAGCAAGCGCGCGTAGCCATCGCATTGGATGCAAAGACAAATGGCGGAAGGGATCCCTTGAAAGGTAGCGAAAGCGACGTCCACAAGCAATCAAACAAGGTTCAGGAAGCGAAGGAAACAAACAATCACACGCCCCTAAGCTTTTGGACCTAGCTTAGCTGCCTTTCGCTTCTTGGCAGAAACAAAAAGGGGATCGTAGACCAGGATCCAATGTCCCTGAACCAAAGCTTGATGCAAGGAGCTCTGACATTGATGCTTTGTTAAAGCATCCGCCAGTTGAGCGTCAGAATTCATCCAACGAGTCTCCGTGTGACCTCTGTCCAAGCGTTCCATCACCGACAAAAGCTCCAAAGCACTGTATTTCTCGGAAAGTCCCAAACCGCTCGCGTTCACCAAACCCTTCTGAACCGAGTCATAGAGGGACTTGGCATCGGTAACAAGAATCCCAGGAACACGAACCAACACATCTTCAGGAGATCGAGGATCGAGGTCATGACCGAGCATTTCGCCCCACTGGAGTCTCGTGAACATAAGTTCCTCTTCAGCCTCCGAAAAGGCTTGCACCTCTGCCGCTAGGCTCGATCTTGCGATCCTTTTGAGTTTGAAGGTTTTCCAACCTACAAAGTTCACGCGTGCTTTCTTTCCTTCTCGAAGGTCTTTGGTAGTGGCACCAACCAAGTAACCACCAGTACTACCCATGTCAACCCTATTGGCCAAAGCAGCGTCACTCCAAGCAACAAATTCAACCTCTTCAGGGGAACACTCCAACACTTGGGTTTTGGGAGAAAGCATGCGATCATTGTAAATCTCTCTCACCAATTTGTTCGCTTCAGCCAATGTTTGGCCATCGGCTTTGGTGATCCTGCTCTGCAACTGACTCAACTTGGCCCCGTGCTGGGGTCCAGACTGGACCACACGCCACTGTGCCGCGCCCAAAACGGCTCGAAGTTGCTCAACTTCTTGAGGAGTGGCTGGTGCTTTCGGGTCTTTAGTGGTGATGCTAATTTGCTGTATGCCAGTGCAGAATTTTGCATGATCCAAAATGATTTCTTTGCTTGGGGTTTGATGCAATTGAACTCCACAATGGTCAAATGAATCACACTCCCAAGGACTCCAACGATATGAAGCCTTAAAACGATGCAAAAACAAGTTCCACGTTTCGTTTCCATCGTCCCCAATCATATAGAAATCATCTACATGGCTTCCTACAAGGCCAACGACCGAGTTCGTGGAAGGATCTTTGATCCTCCAGCAGCAGGGTTCCGTCTTCAAAGCCTCACCTCCTAATTCAAGGATCTTGTTTCTAACTTCGAGGTACCATTGGTGAGGGGCATTGCAAAGACCATAACAGCTTTTAACCACCTGGACTGCCCTGCCTGGTTCAACTCCCATGGCCATTGCCAGCTCTGGAACTGGCACTGCGAACACACTCCGGCGTTCCTCGGTGTTCTCGCTGGTCTGCAAGAATGCGCTTTTGGCATCGCATTTCACTTGTGACCAACCGCAACAAGAAGCCATGGTCATCATGAGTTGTCTAGTGCGTCTACTCATTGTTGGACTAGTCGTACTGAGGCTTCCAAGGTCGGGGTCACTAAAACCTACGATCACTATTCGAGCCTTCGCTGCGCCAGAGGACTTGAAGGTCAAAACCCAGCGCATCCGCATGGTCCGGCTGCGAGGAGCGATCTGGTGCTCCTCAAGAGCTTTGCAGGCAGCCGCTTGGATCCATTGACCAACTTCCAAAGACTTGGCCTTCTTCATGTCTTCAACTTGTTCTGGAGTAAGATGCTCCATCTTCACTTCAACATGTTTCTTCAGCTTGTTCGCTGTCCAAGTCACTGGGTCTCGCTTGAACTGCTTCATGCTCTTTTCATCTGTGGGCAGCTCCAAAGACATGGCAACAAACAAAGGAGGTTCACCTTGATCATCTTCCGGTTGAAGTGACTCGCAAGCAAATGAGGTTTCCTCAACCATCTTCGCTTCACCGTGCCGTTCTTGAGCCTTTTTGAAAAGCTCATTGCGTTTGAGCTCGCCAGTCCAGCTCTTGCCAGCAGCTCCATGGCTAGTTGGAAATTCGCAGGAAGGGTCGCTGAGATAGCGGCCGGGCGAAAAATCTGAGCTAGCTAAGGATGGGGCATTAGGAGTCGCTTCAAGAGAAACCATTCTCGAGCCTCCAGGGTGTGATGTCCCTTTCACTGAACCCGATGCCGACTGTGCCTGACCAGTCCCTAGTGGCATCTCTTTGCCGCTCTTTCTTTTCGAATCTCCTAATGGTCGAACATCCGAATTTTCTTGAGGTCTTTTGCGGCTTATGGGATCTACATGCGATCTTGTTGGTTCTTCTCTTTTCATCACAGGGGTCCTACTCCTAGCTGAGCTGCCTCTCACTGGTGGCGCTGCGCTTCGAGATCGCCGGGCCGGAGTCGCAGGGCTCGGTTGCAGCAGATCATCGTAAACATCAAACTGTCCACGATCAACTTCTTGCAGCATACCTTGAATGGTCCAGTCAAAGCGAGGTGGACCGTCAGCCTCAGCCAGAATCTTCTCTGTCTCGCTAGCCAGGCGCAATTGTTCAGGAGCAACACGCTTCAAGCGACCACCAGCAGTAATCCAGACAATGTGACCAGGCCTCGCTGAGTCGCCGTCCAAAAGGCTCTCAGTAGCGACCACACGACCTGGGCCATACCAGCGAGCTATTTGTCGTCTTGTCACATCAACATCCTTGTGTGAAGCCAAAGACGTGGAAGGTGCCTTATACCGCTTGTAGTAAATGAGTGTGCCAGGAGTCCAAATCTCACGCTTTTGAGCCTTGGAGTTCCAGGCTCGATTGATGGCCTCTTGAGCCATGTTCTTCTTGTACTCTTGCTCAGCCTTGAGACGAAGGACCATGGTCTTTTGCACTCTGTCTTGCGAAGCTCGTTGAGACTCATGGAAACTCGTAGCTTCTCTTCCGCTCTCATGAATCTTCTCATCGATGCCCAAGGAACGTCCCAGTGCCCATTGAGCTGGAGAAAAACCTGCAATCTTTCCAACTTCATTATGAGCTGCACACATGGTCACAATGGCCTCCCAGGGATCAACTGCGTTGCTGCGAAGGAAGCGCTCCACCGATTTCCTTAGTGTCCCAATGGCACGCTCCACAACACCGATCTGATAGTGGGCTTCAGCTGCACAAGGCTGAAGCTCGATGTCACGGGCGCCGCAGAAGTCTTCTAGCAGCCGCGAGCGAAAGGCTCCTTCGGGATCAAGTCGAAGAACCGAAGGATGTCCAAAGAATCGAATCCAGGAGTTCTGCAAGGCATCTACCACCTGTTCAGCAGTGGCATTCTCATGTTCTCCTTCGTCAAGCCGATGTAGGAGATGGGGTACCATGAAAGTAGAAGCCTCGTCAACCATGATCATGGCGGTCACCGTCTTGGTGCCTACCTTGAAGTACGCATTGTCAACTTGCAAGGTGTGCCAAAGAGTGTCCGAACGATTAAAGCTCGCTCGGGCTGCAGGAACTGATCGCTTGGTCTCTGCACAGTCGTCACAATGCATGTACTTGGCCGCCAAGGTGATGAGGGAATGTGCTCCTCTCGCTTTCAGGGTGGCAACCAAACTTCTTGTGGAGGGATGACCTGCTCGGACATGAAGTCTCTTGACCAATGCTAAAACTCTCTTCCATTCGACTGGAGAGACACCATCAGGCACAACAGGCTCAATCTCAGACACCCCATAGGCTAAGAGTGCCTCTTCATCTTTTTCTTGCACAGGTTCAACGTGAGGGGGTAGGTCACGTCGTAGGATCTGCCTAGCAATGATTCTCACCATTCGAGGAGGGTAGAAGCCTGTTTTCTTGGCCGACTGGCCTCCCATAGCTTCTCCGTGTTGGTGATCATGAGGGCATACAAGGTGCAAAGCGGAAGCCATGGCACGGTCAGTCACATAGATCGTCCAGGGCTTCAGCACGGGCTCATTCTTGTCATTCACAACTCCTACTTGGCAACCATGGAGCAATGTGCGGAAGAGGTTCTGCTTCTTCTCATGGACCTCCTTGAAGAAATCCTTCAGCTCCTTTTGGTGCCAACCATCATTCGTCTTTGGCCACTCCCAACCAAAGTGTCCACCATTTTCAAAGACATGCACTCGAAGGAGTTGAAGAGCTCGAAGGACTAGTTTTCTAGACTTCTTCCGGCGAGCCAGAGATTTCAGCCAGGCTTGTTCAGTCAGCTGGTTGAGATGTTGTATGGGACTATTAGCCCCACAAGGCAGGGATAGCCACATCCATCTCGGCTTTTCTCTTCTCACAAAGCTAATAGCTTGGTTCAGGCCATCAACTGAGTTCAAATTCATGTTGTTTTCGGTCACTCTGGCTGAAGATCCTCCAAGTCTTTCCACCATAGCTGCGAGTGCGCTATCAGGAGGACAGCACACTTCCAAAAGATCTAGGCTGCGCGCTTCAGGAGAAAACAGTACCACTCCAGGCATGGAGTCAAAGGAAAGGTTCACAAATTCATGCAAGCTGTCATTGATGGCCATCGTAGTGTCATTCATCGTCTCGGCCACCAGACACTTCACGCTCTCTGGCGTGGTCAGTTCGCACCCGTCGGAGGCATCTCGGTCCAAGAGCCGTCCGACTCCTCCGCTGCTGCTTCCAGTGCCTCTGCACCTTGAGAACCAGTCCTCTTCGACTTCCTCTGAGTTGGTGTAGTGGTTCTCATGGCTTGGGGCTCGTCCTTGGTCTTGTCCTTCTTCAAGGCCTCCTTCTGCTTCTGGATGGTCTCCAAACGTCGATGGAGACTCCTCTCTGCGCCATCCAAAGCCACCTCCGCTGTACGAAGCACAGAAGGGTCCTTCTCGATCTCGTTCGCCTTCTCGATCAGCTGGTCCTTGGTGTCGGTGCTGAGAGGACCTGCACTCCTGTACTTGGCATGAGCGCCATATGCTGGGATGTACTCGAGGCGAAGCATGCAATTCTGACATGTCTTCCACATTGCCCATCCGTTCTTCCCGGATGGAGAGCCACGTCCGAAGGGGGCTTCCACATGCTGGCCCTTGCACGGTCCTCCTTTGAACCGAGGATCTCTGGGATCCGGCCCTTCCTTCCTGGCGAAGTCGTAGATCTGGTCGTCGGGCAGCTTCTGGTTCTTCTGCCCTTTTGATTTCCCTTTCGCCGTCACCTTCTTCGGTGTCTCGGGTTGACTGCATGTAGTCGACAGGGTCCCGGACATGGCTATCGTGTGAAATCCCCGGGTTCGTGCCCTCGCAAACTTCAGACTCGAACCCAAAACCTGCAGACGTGGGAGATTCAGCAAGTACAAGAGGTTCGGAAGGAAGAAGTTCTTGATGTGAAGGAGGAGGAACAAAGGGTTCATCAAACTGATACTCATGTGCAAAATCGTCAATATGACCGGCTTCTGCTTGATCTAGATGATTACTATACTCGACAACCATGGCTTGTGACGATGAAAGATGCTCCATATATACCTCATCGAATCGGGCGTCAAGCCAATCAGAGGAAAGATCTAAAAGCAAGTGACCTGTCCGCTGACATTGTTGCAGCGGAACCAATTCATCACTCACAGCACAAAAGCTGGCAGTCTTACTGCCGAAATCGATCACCGCTGCGAGCCTCTCAAGGGTCCTCATGCCAAGAAGCAGTGGCACATAGCGATCGTCCGTGTCCAGAGCATGTACTCCAAGCCAAGTATGGGTGCCACCAATGCTCTGGGGGATCTCAACGTATGAAGTGGCTTGGAGAGTGCGTCCGTTTCCAAACTTGAATGTCTTCCGGACGTCCTGGTTGACACGGATCTCCTCATAGCCAAACTTGGACTGGCGGCGATTCATAATGGCCGTCAGTGCATGCAAGGACGCAACCGTCTCGGTAGCTCCACAGTCGATCACCGCGTGGAACTGATCATCTGAGGGCTGAACAGTCCACGCTGAAATGGTTTCCTCAGCATCCACGGAGTCATCTTGAGCCATGAAGACCGAGCTGTCAGATTCATTGGTCGTGTAGGTGTCGTTCTCCAGAGCGGCATAGAGAACGTCGACATAGTGTGCACTGCCACCACCTTTTCGTTGATGTCGTTTTGGGCATTGCTGGAATGAATGATCACGAGCTCCACAAATGAAGCATCCCGTATAGTCAGGTTCACCTGGACGTTGTCGTCCCTTGCCAGGGCTTGAGCTGCCTTGAAAGGAGGAGGCAGCCATCACGGGAGACGGTCCTCCCTTTTGCTTTCCTTTGAAAGAGCCCTTGCCCTTGGAGAACTTGCCTTTCACCATCGGGAAGAAGCCTCGGTTGTTGGTCTTGCTCTTCATCAGGTTTCTGGCCTGCACGAAAGTCCTCACCTTGTCTTCATAGGCCGCATAGACCTCATCAATCTGCTTCTGCTCTTCCGGTGAGAACTCAAACTCAGCCTCGGTGTCATTCCACCATGCCGAAGAGGTAGTCCAGGAGCCATCATCCCATGAAGCACTACCCCAATAGGTCTCTTCTTCCTCAGGCATAGGTTCATGGATCGGAGCGGGATGCTGGTAAACGTCATCGGGAAGCTTGTGGCCAATCCAGTGAACTTGTAATTCTTCATCAGGTTCACCATCCAGCAATCCCCATTCTCGATCCTGTTCAACCCAGAACGTTCTCCTTGGAGCTGAACCCTTATATCCATGTCCTTTTCCACCAACTGGTCGTCGTTCAGCTGCGAGAAGTTCTTCTTCTTGGTCACGAAGAGCACGTTCAATTGCTTCAAACTTGAGGCTGTTCCCAACTGAGGCCTGAACCGAGAGTCGGCTCTGAGTGGACAATCCAGCTCGTCGAAGCAAGATCCATCCTAACACTTCATCAGGAAGAACTTCAGCATCGTTCACTTCGAGCTCGTCCCAGGGCACATTCATGTCCTCATCGTCCTCGGCGTAGGCAGACCAGGAGTCAGAGCCATCATGCTTCTTCTTCTTGCCAAGCCATTCATTCCACTCTTCAGCAGTCCACTGATTGCCCCATTGCCACCAGGTGTTCCAGCCACCACGGTTGGAAGGAGAGCCATCGTCCACTTCATCTTCTTCTCCTTCTTCTTCTTCTTGCTCCTCATCTTCCGGAATGGCAGGTTCTCGACTACGGACACTCCTCGAAGGCGAGTGGTCACTGCCAGTGGATGAAGGTCGAGGTTCCGGTTCAGTGGCTGTTGAACCATGGCTCTTTTTGGAGCTTCCTTTTGAGCTCTTCTTCATGGAGGTCTCCTTAGGTTGGGCTTCTTGTCGAGCTCGGAGAAGGGCACGTTGAAGTCGTCGGTAGTGCTCTCTCACCTCATGAGCCCATTGAGCAAAAGGAGTACCGGGCTGTCGACGGAGTCGGATCAGTAGATCCTCGAGGCGGGCCCCTGCATCGGGGACCGGTGCACGGCAGAGCTTGTCACGAAGGAAGCTGAGCATGTACTTCACTCCATGGCGTCCAGAAAGGCGGTCATGGTCGATCTCGTACGAAGCCTGCCAAGCCTTGTCCGTCAAGCGACTCACAAGCTCAGGGCCAAGCAAGTAACGTTTGCTTGGCTGCGTCTTCTCATACTGGAGTCTCACCTTTCGAACGAAATCTGGCCAAGTATTCAGATCGCCATTCCAAGACACATAGACATCCTTGGCCGTCACGGTCGTCATAGCCAAGGAGGGAGGAGGCACCCTACGTGATGAGGTAGACAGGGACACAGAGGTCGTCAAACACGAAGGTGGACCAAACCAGACCAGGAAGAACACCAGGAAGGCCGCAACCTTAAAGGAACGAAACCAAGCCGCAGGGAGGTGCCAGGCAGCCGCTCGTGTAATCGAGGGAGTCAAGGCAGTGGTAGCGTGTGTGTGGGCCCTTCGACCCAGGAACCAGGAGCACAAAGGCTCCGCTACCAGTTTCGGTAGCAAATCGAAGCCTCCGCTTCGTGAAGACAGCCGCACCACAGCAGCCTTTTCAGCAAGCGCGCGTAGCCATCGCATTGGATGCAAAGACAAATGGCGGAAGGGATCCCTTGAAAGGTAGCGAAAGCGACGTCCACAAGCAATCAAACAAGGTTCAGGAAGCGAAGGAAACAAACAATCACACTGACCGTCCTTCTCACATGCGCTGATGGCGGCACTGTAGCTGTAAACATTTGGCTGAACCTTTGCTGGGGGCATGGCATCAAACAACTTCAATGCTTGCTGCCATTGACCGCCCTTCTCACATGCGCTGATGGTAGCACTGTAGCTGATGACATCAGGCCGGACCTTTGCCTTTTGCAGGGCATCAAACAACTTCAATGCTTGATGCCATTGACTGCCTTTCTCGCATGCGCTGATGGCGGCACTGTAGCTGTAGTCATCTGGCTTAACCGTTGCCTTTTGCATGGCATCAAGCAACATGAATGCTTGCTGCCATTGACCGCCCTTTTCACATGCGCTGATGGCGGCACTGTAGCTGTAGACATCCGGCTTAACCTTTGCCCGGGGCATGTCATCAAACAACTTCAATGCTTGCTGTGGCATTTTGGATCTGGCACATGCGGTAATTCCCTGCGTGTAATGGAATGCTTTCAGCTTGATGGTGCCATCTTCCCGGAGTGCATCCAAAGTAGCGAAAGCCAAGTCGCCACGCTTCTGCTCCCTGAAGCACTTCAACACTTCCGGAAGCTTCTCTTCTGATCGCTTCAGTTCGGGCAACAAAACAACTTCGACCTCACTTTCCTTCAGCTACAACAGTTTCCATATCGATTCATCCGTGCTCTGGTCCTGAAACGATTGCG